TCCTCTTCCCAGCTGCAGAAGACCCATCTCCCTGCTTCCTGTGTGGCCTCTTTTGTAAGGGCACTCAGCTCAGCCCCCACCCCCACCTGCTAATGTCCTCGCATATAAATGTGGGAGCAACACGATCAGATCACAAAACCCCTTCATCTGTACTCTACTTCTACACTTTTACTATTTCAAGAATGTTATATAAATATAATTCTGTCATATGTAAACGTTGGTGGCTGGCTTGTTCTCCATTCTGCACAGTTCCCGAGAGACTGATCCAAGGGCGTCTCTCCACAGTTCTTTGTACTGCTGAGTAGTATTCTGTAACGTGGATGTACCATGACTTCCTTAACTCTTTATCTGTGAAAGGGCATCTGGGTTTCCAGCTTGGGGTTGCTATAAACAAAGCTGCTATGAACATTTCTGCACCAATTTTCATTGTTCTGTGATCAATTCCCAGGAGTGCAACTGCTGGGTTCACTGCTAGTTGCATGTTTTATTTTTTAAATAAACTGCCAAACTGTTTTCCAGAGCAACTGTGCTACTTGACATTCCCATCTTAAATGTGTGCTCTACTTTCTCCTCTTCTAGCCAGAATTTGATGTTGTTTTTATTTCTCACCGTATCCATTCTGATAGTGTGTAGTGATGCCTTGCTGTGGTTTTAATGTGCATTTTCCAACTGCACAGTGATGTTGAACACATTTTACGTACCTGTTTGCCATCTGTTTATCTTCTCCAGTGAAATGTCTGCTCACGTTTTTGCTCATTTTCTAACTAGATTTTACTGTTAAGCTGTATGTATTCTAGATATTTATGTGCCTGATATGTGGTTTGCAATTCCTGTAGCACTATATGTGCTTTCACCTTGTAACTTACCTCTCATCCTTTAGCCAGTTTCACAGAGCAAAAACTCATAATTCTGACTGAGTTCAGTGTATCAATTTTCCCCTTACTAGATGATGTTATCTACAAATTCCTTCTTAGACATGATTGTCTGTACAAAATACCAAGGAATCAACCAAAAAATTCCACCAAAGTGAAACACTAGAAAAAAACCCAAAACATAAAAAGAAAAACAAAAAAACCCCCCAAAATAAAAAACAAACCAATAGAATTGATAAGCAAGTTTATCAAAGTTCAAAGGACAAGCTGGGCTTGGTGGCACACACCTGTAATCCCAGCACTTGGGAGGCTGAGGCAGGAGGCTCGTTTCGAGTTTTGAGGCCAGCCTGGGCTACAAAGTGAGCTCAGGGCCAGCCTGAACCACATAGCAAGACCCTGTCTCAAAAAAAAAAAAAGAGACAAAAAAAAGTTCATAGACACAAGGTAAACATTTATTAGTATTCTACATACTATGTCAAATATTTTCTCCTGTTTTTTCTAAAAGTTCTATAGTTTTACACCTTACACTTAAGTCCATAATTCATGTAACTTATTTGTATAAGGTGTGTAGTTCGTCATTTTACTTACAGAGGTGCAACTGCTCCAGCATCATTTATTGAAAGGCTGTGTGCTTCACCCGCTGAGCCATGTTCGGGTCTTTGTAAAAATCCGCTGGACGTAATAGGGTAGTTCTGACATCTCTATTCTGTTCCACTGACCTGTGTGTTCTTTCTCCAGCGGTGCTGCTGTCCTGGTTACTGCAACTGTGTAAGCCTAGATGTCAGGTAGACTGATTGTTCCCACTCTGCTCTTTCACACAATTGTTTCTCGTTCCTTTGCTTGCCACAAAAAGCCTTGCTGCAGTTGTGACGGGAAGTACAGTAGGTGTGTGTATTATTTGAAGAACTGACATCTTTATTAGTTGAGTCTTCAAGAATATTCAGTGTCTACATTTATTTGGATCTTCTGTCTCGTTAATCCGCATTCTGTAGCTCTCTGCATACACACTGTGTGTATTGTTACATTTACACATATTTCCTTTGTGAGGGACTGGAAGTAAAGTTGCTTTTTGAGTTTTGGTGTCTGTGTTTGCTGTCTTTGGGGTCTTGTTCATTGTCAGTATATAGAAATACAAATGAATGTTTATCTGGTGTCCTCTGATAAACTTGCTTGTTAACCCTAGGAGCACTATTGTGTCTTTGTGTGTGTTTCTTGTTGTTTTTGGTGAGCTTTATTTTTTGGGTAGCTTCTTTGGTATCTCTTAGAGACAATCATGTCAGGTGCAAGCAGGAACAGTTCTATCTCCCCCCTTCTAATTGGTGCCTTTTGTTTCTCTTCGTTGTCTCCCACATGGGCTAGAGCTTCCAGTACCAAGGAGACCAAAAGAGACAGCCGACACCCCTGTCCTGTGCTGGATGTGCTCAGTTACCCATCCAGACTCCCTTACACTTTCCCGCCGTCCTCCAGCCCCAGGAGGCTGACGATGCAGGCGCTCCTTTGCTGGGTCTTCAGGTTCCCTGAGCCAGCTGCGGATCCAGTAGCTCAGAGCCAGCCACCTCTGTCGCGTCACCAGGGCTGGCTGCGCCCCTGCACCAGGCCACAGCCCCTCCGCGGCACCCCTCGAGCACAGCCCGCTCCCCAGACTCCGTGCGCGTCGGGGGGAGGCGGGGCGGCAGGCACTGCCCTCCCCCTGTGGTTTCCTGCATTCTGCCCACACCTTACGTTATTCCTTGATTAACCTCACCATTAATTACACAATTTCAGGAGCTATCTGTTTCTGCCAGGACTTTGATATCCTACGAATGATAGAATTTCCAAATCCCAAGCACCAGACCTATATTGTCAATTGTCACAAAGTGGTCATTATTTATTCGTTCTTTTAAAAAGTCACATACAGTAGTTATAGGCAAATGGATTTCCACTTGAAGACATGAAGATGAGAAGATGCAGTTAACATAGCACGCAGACTTCCTCGGCTGTTCTGTGTTGTCTCACCGAGCCCGTGGGGTTTGTGAGTGCAGCATTTGCTCCCTAGCTGCTGCAGTACTGATGCCTTTGTGCGCCGCTCATACCACGAACGCTCTCTCTCATCCATAACTCCGTGCTGCTCTTCAACCACCTTCCCACCCAGCCAAACCAAGCCCTCCGCCCCGCCCTGTCTCTGCTGTAGGAGGTTCATACCTCACACATTTCGATTAGCGCTAACCTTCCGAGTCCCTTTATGAGCAAAAATGACCAAGAACTAAGTGTCTGGAAAACTGGTGATACAGGCACTATTTCCTAGTTGTGTGAAAGGAAACAAAACCGGCTAATGTCCGCGGCAGGAGAAGATAAAATCTGAAGCCTTTCCACAAAATACTAGAGTTCAGTGGGCTCGGTGCTTAGACGACTTCTGTTCCAAACAAATATGATGATCATAAAGATTAAGCTGTACTACTTAGCCAAAATGCAATGGAGTTAAGGCATTTGTCCAGGTACCTCAGCATAAAATAAACAGACAAAACAAAACAGAACACGCTCTGCAGTAATGGCCCCGTCTCCACAGCAACGGCAAGGACACCTGTACTATCCTGCAGTTTCGGAAAGGCTTGGGATCTATGCTACGTGACCTTTGATGTCAGTTCTGTAATTTATCCTGAGTATAAACACAGACTAAAGGAAAAAACCGAATGTTTAACTAGCTGTAGACTGCTTAGCAGTACTGACGTCAAACAAATGAAAACCTTGCTTATTGTAGGTGGGCACATACTATGTGAAGCCTGAAGTGGACCTCAGGACTCACGCACTCCAGCTCTCATTTCATAGACAAGAAAACTGGAACCCGGAGAAGCTTAGCAACTTGCCAAAGGTCACAGAGATGTGCCCCAGCCTGGCGCTTCTCCCCACACAATGCTTACTTGGATTATCAGCTGCAGAGTCGGTCTGCCTGCAGCAGACCTTCCGAACATCTCATTCAGCGTGTTTCTTCTCTTCTGCAGTTTGTCCGATCATGTCTAGAAAAGGCGCTAGGTCACATGTAGATGTTGAGACTGTGATTTGGTCCCAGCCAATCCAAAGAAAAGTTCCCTACACTTTCCACTAAATCCTGTACTTCCAGTTAGGATGGATCCAGTGTGGATACTGAGCACAAACGACCCTGCTTTTGTCTGCCATCTTTTATAAACCCAGGCCCTCGGGAGCTCGTGGCAAGCACAGTGGAAGAAGATGATGCGAACAGAAATGGTCGGTAGATCCGGCCTCTTCCGTGTGTGACGGGTTCTACGCAAACAGTCCACATAGCGAAGACGAGAAATATCCGGCCAGAGAGTATGGGTTTCAGCCCTTTAACCGGAAAGTGGCACAGACCAATGAAACAGACATTTCCAGTGGGTTCGATTCCACTAGCACAGAGACAGTCTGAATTCAACGTCATATTTATTTTAACATCGCAGTCAAAATTGCTACTAAACAGAAAATGTAATAAAGTCAATAACTAGCAAGTAAATTGCTTACTTTTTTAGCAAGGAAAAACTCCGTTTTTGGCAAATGGTTCTGTAGTTATAGAACGTGAAGACACTTGGAACTAATCTCCCCCCTAGGAAAATGCCCCAAATTGTCAAGGTGAAAGGCACATACCACTGCCCCAGCAGTTCAAGTTGTCTTTAGCATATGAAATTGTAATTGTGCTTTTTAGCTTGTTATCAATACAACGTGACTTTAGAAAGTGACATCCGTGCATATGTAGTTTCTTTTCAGATGGATCAATCCTTTTCTTTTTTTTTCTGACTTTCATTTCCTGAAGGCATTTTGTTAGTTCTTTGTTTTATAAAAGATCCAGTTATTAGAGTCTCAGAAAGACGCACTTCACATGTGCTCTATTGAATCTAGAGACAAAGTCTGAGCTAGCTTTATGTCCTCACATAAAACAGAGCTTCTTGAAATAGCACTGGGATGGTGCTCCAACGCCGTCATTTCTTGGGATGCAAAAGTCTGGGATTATTATCTTTCCTCACTGGTTGCTTAAGGGTTACTTCGCTTCCAGAAGAGATGATTGGCAAACTGTTGTTCATATGGTATCTGATAAGGTGCCCAACATTATCAAATACATGATCCTTGGTCCTCACCTTGAAAAGGAAGTACAAATACACTTAGGTTAAATAACAGTAATTCTTCTGAAAGATCTAACAATCAGAGAGGGAAACCAGACATATCCAGAAAGAAGGCACTTTGAGGACTAAAGGAAAGTTTCTTTTCAACACTTAATGTGCCGGGCACGGTGGCGCACACCTGTAATCCCAGCACTCAGGAGGCTGAGGCAGGAGGGTGGTTGTGAGACCAGCCTGGGCTACAAAGTGAGCTCAAGGCCAGCCTGAACTGCATAGCAAGACCCTGTCTCAAGAAGACCAAAAAAAAAAGAAAAAACAAAAACCATTTAATGAATAATTTTCTCATTCTCTGCTAACCTCTTACAGCAACCATCCCTTTTTTTTTTTTTTTTTTTTGGTTTTGGTTTTTCTCTGGTACCAGGAACCGAACTCACGACCTTGCGCTTGCCAGGCAGGCGCTTTGCCGCTGAGCTAAATCCCCAGCCCCCTACAGCAACCATCCTTACAGGTTAGGATAATGATGAGCACCTGTCAGTCAATCCAAATTTGCAGCGTGCCTCCTTTCAATGTCATTGTTTAATATTATGTCACCATTTCTGTAAATATTTAACTGCCTCCCCTACACAAGTCTGAATTCCAGGATCACAGCCTTCTTCCACTGGGTAGAGACAGTCCTCCCAAGTTTCCCTTTGTTTATGGGAAGCACTCCCGCTGGAGAAGCCCCGCCTCTCCTTGGAGTCTTAATACAACCCTGTCTCCTCTGAGACACATCCTCAGACCTCTCTAATAAATATTTGCTGCACGGGACTTACCGTCTGTATGCCAAAGGAACTCAACTGTCCCAGCCCTAACCTTCCTCTGCAAATTTCCTCCCTGGAGTTACTGTACCTGCACCGTGTGCACAGGCAGAGGCGTACATTGTTATCCATCCCAGCTCTCTGGCTGGGAAGCCTGGTCAGACCTGCACTCATGCAGGAGAGGAGCCAGGGACAATGCAGACATGGAAAGCATGTAGCCAGGAAGCTCCTTGGGATGTAATTCTGCTACCTCTCCTACACAGAATTGATGAGTTCTGCCTAGGTATTGGGTCTTGGTCTAAAAATATATACTTACTGGAATAAATAAATGACAGAACTTTAATATGAACTCGGAATTAGATGATAGTATTGCAGTGATATGTCTTGTCTTTCACTATTGTACTGTAGCTATGAAAGAAAACATCCCTAGTCTTAATAAATACACGCTCATGGATTGAGAAAAAAACAGCATAGCGGCTTTGATTACAAACGGCTCCAAACCCCTGCAGGAGTTGTTCTCTCTTCCAGCTCATCCCCAGCACACTCTGATTCTGCTGACCAATCCCGCCGGACTGTCCTGGACACCAATTCATTCTGCATCTCCTCTGCACTGCCCCTGTCTCCACTGTGGGGGGCGGGGTTCGGAGGTGGGGCGATTAACCAGAGCTGAATCCAGGGCCTTCCCACTGAGCTATATCCAGGGCCCCTTTGTACGCTGATGACTGACTGACTGATTCAGATGGGGTCTCACTAAGTCACTAGGCTGAACCCAGGCTGGGCTTAGACTCGCCACCCTCCTGCCTTCGTGGCCCGGACTGCATGCTCCCCAGGCAAGCTTTCTCCTGCCTCTGCTCTGATTCAACCTTTCACTGCTTTTGACCTAGAAGCTCCTAAATACCTTCTCCATCTCTGGTCTCCTCCAACCCTAGTCAACCCACATACAAATGTCAAATTAATTTTCCTAGTACAGAGGTTGTAAGCCAGCCGCTCTCTGGCCAAATACACCAGATGTTAGAGTTAGGACTTCACTAGGGGTCACCACGGAGGGTTCTAAGTGTTTTGAATTGAAAATGGGGACAGTTCATGTAGTATTTTAACTATGTGTGGCTTCTTTGGAAGAGTCCGCTCTGGCCCCACAGGCCTCTCCTGGGTGTGGCAGCAGGCCACACCTGGGGCAGAGGGACAGAGCCCACCCACCCTCTGTGGGTTCTCCACCCAGCCCACCACCTGTACCGGCCAGGCCCAGAACTCCACCCTCACAGGCTTTTTAAAAACTGTGATAAAAAACAAATAGGACTCCGAGCGTCCAGGACAGCACTGCTAACTGGAGCACAACGCTGGACGGCACGTCCCTGGAACTGCTCTCGTACGGCTCACGCTCCCGGCCCCCCCGAGCAGCAACGTCCGCTTCTCCCCGCCCCGGGCTGTTTCTGGGAGTCTGACTACGTGGGCACCTCGCAGAGGGCAGCAATGCAGCATTTGTCCTTCTGCGACCGGCTCATGTGTCTTCACACAATGCCCCCAGTCCTTGAGAACAGGGCACACCTCCCTCCTCCTGTGCCTCCCGTGCATGCACACGCTGTGTTTTCTTTCTCCAGTCATCAGTGGATGGACCTGAGAGTCCCACTTCTCTATCTTTGCTTTTGTGGCTTCCACTTTGGGGATCTTATCAAAGATCCCTGCCAAGACCAACGTTCTAAAGCTGTCCCTCTAGCTTTTCTCCGAGCAGGAGCTGGGTTTTGTGTGTAATACAGACTTTGTCCAGTTTCATTCTTTTGCATCCATCTGTTGGGGAGACCAGGCTTTACTCTTCGTATGGTCTTGGCAGCTTGCTGAAGATCACTTCTGGGCTATTTACACTGTTCCACTGGTCTAGATTTTTATCTTCCTGCCAGTACCATACTGGGTTTTTTTTTATTTTTTTATTTTTTTGGTACTGGGAATCAAACTCAGGACCTTGCACTTGCCAAGCAGGCGCTTGTGCCCCTAGTTGTATCTCCAGCCTACCATACTGTTTTGATTAATGTAGTTTGTAATATGTTTGGAAATTGGAAGAGTAGGGTCTCCAGCTTCCTTCTCAAGACTGTTTTGGATATTCAGGGTTATTTTTGTGGTTCTGTACATATGAATTTTAGGATTTTTTTCTATGTGTATAAAATGCCACTAGGAATTTGATAAGGACCTCAATGAATCTGAGATTGCTGTGGTTAGTATGGACACTTTAACAATATAAGTCCTCCAATCCACAAACATGAGCTGTCTTTCCATTTATTTTTGTCTTCTTTACTTTCTTTTACCAATATTTTGTAGTTCTTAGGCTAAAGTATTTACTTATTCCAAAGTATTCTTTTCTTCTGAGTGCCACTGTAAATGAAATGATTTTCTCAATTTCTTTTTTTGGATAGTTTGTCATCAATGTTTAGAAACCTAGTAAACTGTTGTATGTCAGTTTTGTATTTCCTCTAATTTCAATGACTTCATTTGTCAGTGCTAACAATTTTTTTTTGTTCAGTCTTTAGGATTTTTCACATGTAAGGTCATGTCATTGTCAGGGAAATGGTTAATGTAATGAGTCATCTAGACTGGGTGTGTTCACTGGGTAAATCTGGCTACAAGCCATTTCTCACAAGGTGGCAAAACAATGGTATGCAGAGACAGCTTTGAGTGCACTGTAAGAGTGTCCTTGGTCCTGTGCTCTAAGACACAGAGGCCACCTTGCTACGGAGCCATCTTTGTGCGAACTCTGTACACACAACTGGAAAGACTCAAGAGCAATGTGGTGTTTTCTTTCTCACCTGCTGAAGGCTCTGTCTCAAGCAAGATCCTTCCCCAGAGGATTCTCCTCCATCTTTGGTGCTGTCCCTTGCCTCATTCTATGGTAACATTATTTGATTGTGCTCGTGTCTGCTGTACTTTTATAATAAACTTACTTTCAACTTTTTAAAATTGTTATGTGGCTCTTCTCTGTTCATGCAGATCCAAACTTCAAATTTCTATGGCCACATATATATGGCTCCTTGCTGTCACAGCCACCTGCAAACCAATAATTATACTTCTTTCTTACTGATTTGGATGTTTTTTCTTTTTCTTGCCTAATTGCTTTGGATAATTCTTCTAGTACTTGACTAGAAGTGGTGAGAATGGGTATTACTGTCTTGTTCCTGGTATCAGAGGAAAAGCTTTCAAATTTTTGCCATGGAATATGTTTTCAGCTGTGAGATTTTGATATATACATTTATTATGTTCAGTTAATTTCTTTCTATTCCTAGATTTTTTAGTCTTTCTATAATGAAAGGACTGGATTTTGTTGAATGCTTTTTCTGTATCTATTGAGAAGAGAATGTGAGTTTTATACTTCATTCCATTAATGTGCTATCTCACATCGACAGATTTTTGTATCATGAATCATCCTTGCATCCCAGTGATATGTGGTCATGATGTTCAATCCCTTTAGTGTACTGTTTAATTCAGTTTCTTTTCTTATAGTCTCTCTCTGGGTTTGGAATCAGGAATTATACTGGCCTTCTAAAATGAGATAAAGCATTCCTTTCTCCAGTTTTTTGGAAGTGCTTGTGAAGGCCTGGTGCTAATTCTTTAAATATTTGATACAATTCACCAATAAGCTTGCCATTATTGGCATATATTTTATTACTGATTCAATCTCCTTACAAGTTTAGGAATATTCAGATTTTCTATTTCCTCATTTGCTCCTGTTAGGTTATCCAATTCACTGGCATACAATTGTACACAGTAGTCTCATAATCCTTTTAATTATGTAGCATCCATTGTAAGCTATTTCCTTTCATTTTCAATTTCATTTGTGTCTTCTCCTTTTTCTTAATTGTCTTAGCCAAAATGTTGCCACTTTCAAAAAATGACTTCAGTAACATTGACTTTTTTCTGTTACTTTTCTGTTCTTTATTTCATTTACCCTTCCCTGCTGTGATTGGCCTATGGTCTGAGCAACCCTCAAGGACCCATTATGACTAAAGGCTTGGTGCCCAGGCTGGCATGACTGGGAGGTGTTGCAGAGCCTCTGGGAGGTGGACCTACTGAGAAGTCCTTCAGCCACTGGCAGCACGCCCTCAGAAGGCCATTCTCGGGGGACTCCTTGATAGTTCTCACAAGAGGCCTGCTGTAAGGCCTGGCTCTGGCCCCACCCTCCTCTCTCTGCTCCTGGATTGAGATGTGATTATTGGTTTGTCCCTGCACGTGCAGCCAACATGGCCATCGTGCCATGAAGTGATAGAGCCAAGGGGCAGTCGCCACTACACCTTGTCCACAGCCAGCCTCCAACCTGAGCTAAACAAACTTTTCTCTTTATAAAGTTCGCTACCTTGGGTAGTAATGCAAAACTAACTGATACATTCTCTAACCTTAATTATTTACTTCCTTTTATGAAATTTGTGCTTAGTTAATTCTTGTTTTGAGCACAGAGTTCAATTTCTGAGACCTTCTTTCTTTTTTATGTAGACTTTTATCACTATAAACTTCCCTCTTGTTAGGGCTTTTGCAGGCATCTCATGAATCCTGGTCCATAATGCTCTCATTTGTCTTCAGATATTTTGTGATCTTCCTTTTAGCTTCTTCTTTGAGCTACTGGATCTTCAACAGTGTGTTGTTCAAATTCCAACTATTTGTGAAAATACTAATTTTGCTTCTACCACTAGTCTTAGTTCTAGTCTATTGATATTTGGTGTGATTTCAATCTTCAATTTGTTAAACTTGTTCCGTTTGCTGATATTTGGTATTATTTCAGTCTTCATTCTGTCATTGTTCTGAATACAGCTCTTGGAGGCATTTGATCTGCACTTTTGCTCAAGTTCTCGGAGGCGGGGGGGGATTTAGCTCAGCGGCACAGCACCTGCTTGGCAAGTGCAAGGTCATGAGTTCAATTCCTGGTACCGGGGGAAAAAAAAAAAAGTTCTGTTTTCCCATCAATCTTCTGTCTAATAGTCTATCCTTCATTAACAAAAGAGCTTGAAATCCCCTGTACTATTGTGCTGCGTTCTATTTCTCCCTTTAGTCTTACGAATGTTTGCTTCATATATTTGGGTGCTCTGCTGTTGGCATTCATACACATTTATAAACGTTTTCTCTTCCTGATAAATTGATCCTCTTATCATTTTATCATGTCCTTGTTTTCTTTTGGGGGAAGTTTTTTTACCTAAAAGTCTATTTTGTCTGATATAAGCACGGCCACCCTTGCTCTTTTCACCATCATTTGTGTAGAATATCTCATCCATCTTTTCAGTTTCAGCCAATATGTGTAGTTCCATTTAAAGCTAGTCACCTGGATAGCACACAGTTGGATCTTTTTTTAAAAATACACTCTGCCTCTCTGGCTTTTGATTGGAGAATTTAATCTATTTACATTTAAAGAAATTACTTCTAGGGAAGAAATAATTTTTTCCATTTTGTTGTTTTCTGCCTATGTTACAGGTTTCTTCCTCTCTTTCTATCTTCCTTTGTGTTTCATTGATTTTTTTTTGGTGTGGTGATAAGCTTTGATTCCTTTGTGAATCTTCTACAGTTATTTTATGTGTAGTTACCACAGGGCTAACATAAAACATTTTATAACAATCTACTTTAAGTTGATAACAACTTAACTTTAATGCCACACCAATATTCTATATTTTCACCTCACACACACACAACTTATGCTGTTGATTTTGCAAATTGTATCTTCTCATATTGAATATCCATTAACCTATTTTAGTTTTTTATATTTGTCTTTTAACTTCATATAACCAGAATTAAGTTATTTATACAGCATCATCACAGTGTTACAGTCTTCTTTGTCTGTATATTTACCTTTATCAATGAGCTGTGTGCTTTCACATGCATTCATGTTACTGTTTAGCGTCTTTTTATTTCATCTTGAAGGACGCCAGTTCCCATTTCTGTAAAGCAGGTCTAGTGGTTATAAACTCCTTCAATTTTTGTTTACCACAGAAAGTCTTCATTTCTCCTTCATTTTTGAAGGATCACTGTAGCAGAAACAGTATCTTAGTGGACAGGTTTTTCTTCATTCAGCATTTTGAATATACCAAGACCACTCACAGTATTGTAGAAGATATGATAAACCCACTGACAGACTTAAGGGAGTTTTCTTGTACAGACAGCCTTCTTTTCTCTTCCTGCCTTCAGCTTCCATCCTTGATTTCGATGAGTTAATGACAATGTTCCTTGTTGTCAATTTCTTTGGAATCCTCAAGTGGTGTCTACTGAGCTTCTTGAATCCAGTTTCAACAGTTATTTTTAAATAAACTTTTACCCCTTTCTCTATTTCTTTTTCCTTTTTGAATGCCTATAATGCATTCAGGTCCTTTAGATTTTCTTCATTCTTTTTTTCTTTTTGTTCCTATGGGTAACTTCAAAAGACTTATCTCTGAGTTCACTGATTCTTCCTTCTCTTTGATCAAGTCTACTGTTGAACTCCTCTAGTAAATTTTTCAGTTCAGTTACTCTATTCTGGCAGCTCCAGAGTTTCTATTTGATTCTTTTTTCTATTTTTTTTCTCTTTGTTTGTTTCCTCATCTTATTCATGAATTGTGTTCTTAAACTCATACAACATCTTCATGGTGATTGTTTTGAATTCTGTATCAGGTAACTCACATGCCTCCATTTCTGTAGGAAGAGTTTCTGGACATTTATCATGTTCCTTTCTCCGGGCCCTAATTCCCTACCTCTTGGTGCGTCTCATAGCTTGTGCTGGGATACAGCCATCTTTCTCACCTTTGCACCCAGTTTCATATGTGGAAACACCCTCAGGAAGAAGCCCGGCTGAGACCCTGGGGTCCTCTCACATTGCTGATGGGAGATGTGACTTCTCTGGGCCTGTGCGTTCAGTTTCTCAGTTAGAGGCTGGCCGGTCTCCAGAAGCTTATAATCCCTTGCTCTCTCTGGTGCTTTTCAGTAGTGTCTAAGTTCTTGGTCGCTGCAGCAGCAAACAACCTCACTCTTCAGCAGCTACTGGACATCCACGCCACGCTGACTTCCCACAGCATGACAGTCAGGCAAGATTCCAGGCCAGCGGGCAGCACTCTCAGAAGCCAGAATTCTGGATGCACACCTCACGCCTCTCGCTGCTGGGGCAAAAGCCTCACTTGGCGCACTGCTCCTGGGGCGCTGAGCAAGGCCGGCTGCAGCACGCTGCCAGGCCCCTTCTTTCTTCTCAGCAGCTCCCAGCCCCCAAATGATGTTGGTTCCATGAGCACTGCATGTGAGACGAGACCAAGCAGTACCCCCAGCAGCCCTCTGAAAATGTGGACCTGGGGATGCACACTCTCCCCTCTGCTCTGCCCCGTCTGGGGAAAAGACCAGAGTCAGATCATCCTTTCCCACACTGAGCTGTGCTGCTGTAGGTAGAGTGAAACCGCTCTTCTTACCAAATTCCCCATGATGGCTCTTGGCTTTGTGCCACCTGGGGTGTACAACTTCTCAACCAGGTTCTGGAATTCTCATAAAGATATGTGGGTCCACAGAGAACTGTTAAGTCAGTCTCCGATGGGCAAGAAGGGCTAGCACGTTCTCTTCTGATGTCATCGCTGGAACTTCCTCTTGCTGACGTCACAATTCACATTAGGTTTTTATCATTCTCCTCCTCCAAAACTGCCAATATCACTAGGTCTGCAAATCAGGCATTCGGTCTCTGTTCCGCCTCACATGATGCCTCCCACCTACCTTTCCAGGATCATTACCTGTCTAAGGCATGCTCGGCTCTGGCCCTGTATCATCTATTGACCAGATACCATCCTATTATTTGGCCTGCGCCCACAGCTCCTGCCCTCGACTCCACACTTCCTTTTGAAATTCTGCTCTCTTCCAGGGTTTACCTTATGTGTCAGACCCTACAAAAAGCCTCTGAATGGGGCTGGGGATTTAGCTCAGCGGCAAAAGCGCCTGCCTGGCAAGCGCAAGGTCGTGAGTTCTGTTCCCGGTACCAGAGAAAAACCAAAAAAAAAATAATAATAATAATAATAATAATAAGCCTCTGAATTTGCCTCAACCAGAACAATCGCCCTGTCTTGATAAACACTCTGATGCTCGGTCAAACCATCCTTATCTCGTTGTGCCTCACTTTATAACTATTTAAGCATCTGCTTACGAAATTATAAGCATTCTATGAGCAAGACCCATTTAGGTGATAATGAGCAAGAGTCAGAAGAGAGTCTCTGTACTCCACAAAGTAGGTGTTCACTTAATGCATCCGCCTGGACTGAGAAGGGCAGAAAGAGGCTGTCCTCTCCTTGCTACTCCAGGGTGGCCTCCTACACAAACCCTGCCCTCGGCTTTTGCTTAGCATTTCCTGCCCCAGCTGAAGGTTCGGGAAAACATAAACACATAGCCTTGAACACCACTCAGTATCAGGTTTCGGGCGCCATCCAAAGAAAGCCTAACAGAACAACATGATGTGGGATGTGGAAGGAGAAACCCACAGTACCTTGCCCTCGGGATCCACCAGCAGAAGATGTTTTGCCTGGCCGCCCTGTAATCCACTCAGTACGTATTGGCCAGGAGATGTTGCACTCTCTCGAACCAGAAAGTCCCCATCCTTCACCAAAAGGCTCTCGGCTGCCTTCCTGCTCAGCTTGCCATGGTAGCAGTCTTCACTCCACAGCTGCTGCTTCAGGTGCGGCAAAGAATGGGAGCTGGCCGGCTGGGCTGTGGCACCTGGCTGAACGGTCTCCGGGGCCTCTGAAGTCAGAACACAGAGAGACATCACCGCGTTACCTCCTTGCCCATCCATCCCTCCGCTCACTCAGCAAGCAGAACTCGAGGTCCTACTGCGTGCCAGGCACTGTGGAAACAACACCGTGCAGGACACAAATGAGGTCCTGTTTTCACTCCACTTAATGGTTGATCCAAACATTGCTCTTGGCATCTGTCAGCACAAAGGCAATGCCCAGGCGTAGCTTTCCTTCAGGTGAGAGATGGAACCACCTCGTGTGAGCTGCTTTTATGTCCCTGGAGCAGCAAGTGAAAGATGAAGAGGCCTATGCTGGACCTGAGTTACAGATACCTTCCACAAAATAGGAACAGAAACTTTGGGTTGTGCCCACTTCTTAACATTTAGCTTCTATTATGCTACAAGGGATTGAATCCAGGGCCTTCACACTGAGCTACATCCTCAGCTCTGTATATTTTTATTTTGAGCCAGGTTCTCACTAAGTTGCCCAGGTTGGGCTTGAACTTGTGATCCTCCTGCCTCAGCATCCCAGAGCACTGGATTACATATGTGCACCATCATGCCTGCCCTTCCCCCTTTAAACGAACTGACAAATTTCTAATGTGCTTTTAGACATTCTTCAACCAAAAAGTTTAAAGCTTTGCTAAATCTCCTAGCACTCCTATTAAAGGATCTCTCTGTTGCCTATTCACCTACATGGATAAAACAGAGCTGAGGAGGTAAAAGGAAGCATACAGCAAGGAGGCCTGGCCTAAGCATGTCCAGGGGCCTTGTAGAGTAACTGTTGTTCAGAGTCAAGAGCTCTGCGAAGGGGAAAGTACATGGGGCAGCACGCAGTGCTATTGATCCTCACAGTGCTAACAATCATTGTAATAGTGTAATTACTCATAACATCAGTTATGATGCACTGATAAAATAGAATACCATGCAGCAGCTGACAATAGTGAAGATCATGTGCTAATGTAGATTATTGGACAAAGCTCTGCATAACACAGTCGTGATGGCTGTATCCCACCACAAGCTATGAGACTCACCAAGAGGTAGGGAAATAGGGTCCAGAGAAAGGAACGTGATAAGTGTCCAGAAACTCTTCCTACAGAAATGGAGGCATGTGAGTTACCTGATACAGAATTTGAAACAATCACCATATGGATATGAAACTATTTCCATTTTTAAAAACTTGCCTCACCTTCTGCCTCTGTAGCACCAAACAACGGTCCCCAGTACATGACAGGGCTATCAGAATAGGGCACAGCATCTCCACAGTAACAGTATAAATTCTTGTGTTGAGTTCAGGGAAAACTCATAGTGTTTGATAGGAATTTACCAGGAAATAACTATAAAAACAAGCTTTGTGTTTTAAATGCAAAGCATCTTTTGCTTAGAAACTAGTCTTTATTTTACTAATGCGAATGAGTGTTTGTATCCTTATGCAATGATCTCAGCAACAAGAAATTCACCCGACTCTTAAGTTCCACAACTTGTAGAGAACCATTCCATGAAGTCACTGGTGTAGGTGACCAGGGCCCTGCAGACATGGTGCAGTTCTCCTGTCAGGATGTTACAGTTCTGCCCCTGCTTAAGAGCTTCTTTCTGCATAACACAGTCATGATGCAGCAGTCTCAAATAGCTTTTAAAAATATCTTTAAATGTACTGACTGGAAATAATTTTCCTCTACAAATAATAAAGTGTTTCTATTGTTGCCAGAAAAAGCCTAATGAAATGTGTCCAGACTTGATGAATGATATTGTAGTTGGCTTTGGTGCTGCCCGCTTTCAGACACAATGGAGAACTTCTAAGGAAGGGCTCTGTGTGTGCCTGTGTGTGTGCGTGGCACGTGACACGTATGCATGAGTGCGAGGCCACGCATGTGTGCACATGTGTTGGCACACACATCCTACTGCGTGATGGATTTTGGTTTATCATGAGATCATGGTGAAGAGCTTTGGGACAAGGACAAAACAAAACAGAAGCAGACATTATATCATCTTGAAAAAAGGCAACAGATCGTGGGCCAGCCAGAGAACATGGACAATGTCTTCCTGACACAGTTTCCTAAATTAGCCCAAGCACAAGACCCACTGTGCTGAGAAAGTTCAATCGCTCCAACATTTGCTGAAAATCGAATTCTGCTAACAGCAGAATATGTGTCTTTTATTTTTTTTTAATCTTAAAAATTGTATTTGCTAAATTTTTTTAATTTGGGAAGCAGAAAAACAAAGAAAATCATGTATGGTGCCTTCATTAAACATAATCACTCTTAAGACTGTGGTGTATTATCCATTATTTTGTAACTTTTCTTATACAGAGTTGACTTTGAGAATGATAATCATAATCTAATTATAATTATTATATAATTTCTATAGAAAATTTAATAAATTGTTGTCTTGAGTTATTTTCTTAGAAGCATTAAAAGCTAAGAAGTGCCACTCTAGATTTCAATGAAACTTTCCACCCCTCAAAAGGTGACATAAATGGTGGAAGAAAGTCACCGTGTCATGTTAGAGTTCCTAATAGCAACTAAAGACACACTATTCCAATCACAACTTCACAAAGGTGCAGGATGGATATGGTTATCCATATCCACACCACTCCGATGGACAAAAAGTCTAAACGGGAGAATATAGCTCAAGGGTGAAAAAGTATATAAAGTATTTAAAAATCTGAATTAAACAATTGCAAGTAATTTCAGTAAGAAAGGAATAATGACACATTCTAAAAAATTAGTATGATCTGGAAATATGGCACGTGACAAATTCAATTTTTAAAAAGCAGAATTGACCACTGTATTGATTGAAGTTGCATTGATCATTATACTAGGAAAGGACTGGAAAAATTTAAATCTCCTTTCATAAGAATTGATCACATCAATTATGATGCACTGATAAAATAGAATACCATGCAGCAGCTGACAAAAGTGAAGATCACATGCTAATGTAGATAACTCTAAAACAGAAATTTGAAATAAGAAGGTATAAAACGGAGTTATCAAAGCTTTCATTTAATCTTTAAAGGAGATGGAGAGGTAGATAAATAGTACTTAACCATGCATTACCATTCTGAAACAGGTTTTTTTTGTCTTTTTGAGACAGGGTCTCTCTTTCCAGTTCAGGCCGCCCTTGAGCTCACTTTGTAGCCCAGGCTGGTCTCAAACTCACAATGATCCTCTTACCTCAGCCTCCGAGTGCTGGGATTACAGGCATGCATTACCATTTTGAAAGTAGTTAGAAGAAATTGTTCATGACTAGGGACTTGGATATGGTATTAGGGGATGGGAAGCTATTTTTATTCTTTTCATTTTACACTATTTATTATGTGAATTTCTTTTGTAAGCATCTGTACTACCTTTGAATTGAAGACAAGAAAATTATCTATGGCCCAGGCATGGTGGTACACATCTATAATCCCTGAGAATCTCTGGAAGGAAGACAATGAATTCAAGACCAACCTAAGCAACTTAGTGACTTAGCAAGCCCCTGGATGTAATTCAGGGAAAAGGCCCTCAGTTCAATTCTCAGTACCACCAAAAAGCAAAAGCAAAACTTGCCTGGGGAGTAAAACATACAAAAGTCACAATAGCCCCATAATGAAAGATATAATCAGAAAAATACAAAGATACATCAGGGTTGGAGGACTAGCCTCAGTTTTTCTGAAACCTACCCTTTATCTTCTCATACTAAGACTCCATTTCCTATTAGAAAGAACTGTAAATACCATCAATTCTGGTTATTTGCAGGGGTTACGTTTTCTAAGTTGCCACAAACACTGAATTAGTGAAAACTCTGCTACTATTCCTAAGAGAAACACAGGGTTAAAGTTCCTGTAAGGCTGAGTCAAACCAGACATACAATCTTCTTGTGTGTGGGTTCATGTCTAAAGTCACCATGTTTAGCACATACTAATTAGCACTGAATTCAGTCAACCAGCATTTATCTGCAACACATGTTTTCTCTGTAACACACACAGCAATCTTCCAGCACACAGGAGACAGCTCTCCAGTACTGTGCTTGGGGACACTTGAAACAGGGAATCACCAGCAAGTAGCACAAAAACATGAAAAGTGGGGCACTAAATAGACCTCCAAAGGACACTTGTTGACAGGATGAGAACCGGAACGAGGAGGCACAGCTTTTCCTCGTCTGACCTTGGCTGGGACATGCGCATTAGAGGACTCAAAGTTTGTGCTGCTCTGTGCATGTCTGTGGATGACACAAAAGCACTCGGGGTGTTGGTTTTGGAACTACCGTTAAATCTGAGTGAGCAGGCTGGCTCTCAAGTACGAAATCTGTACACAGTTCATTACTGTGGCTGACCGGGTGTGTGAAAATGGCACAACAGAAAGTTTTGCAAGAAAGCTATGAAATATAAATCTCTTTGATTAATGAGAGGAAAAATCCATGTATCTCCATAAAGTGTCTAAAAATGGATAGAAAAATGTGGACATAAAACATTAAAGCCTGAGGCTGAGAGAGTACCCAGAGAAAATTATCTGTAATCTAAAGGAAGAATTACACATCTATGAGGACATATTATAAAGCCGTAGCAACTAGTACATGGTAATTAATACACTGGTATACGGCAGGTACATGGCCCAGGGGAAGAAGTACAGTGAGCTGCCTGGTAGATTCACGTACACAGGAGGAGCCTCAACTAAAGGGTGGCACTGGGGCAAAACAGATTATTTATTCAGTAGTATTTGGAAAGTTGACTCCTGTGAGTAAAATTAAGCTAGACCTCTTATCTCGAACATGAAGGGGCAAGTGGAATAAACATTTCATGGTGGAAATAAAAAATAAAGCTTATAGAATAAGATGCTGTAGAATAAGATGGATAAAGAAGAGAAAATTTAATCCAAAGAGTACAAGTAATTCATAATAAAGACGAAAATGGAAATCAATGCAGTAATAGAGAAAATTAAACCAAAACCTGAGTACCTTGGAAACACAGATCATTAAGATCAATAAACCTAAATGGGAACTGATCAAGTAAAAAAGGAGAAAATTCCCAATAACAAGAATGAGGGAGGAGATCTTCCTGTAGATCCTTTGAACAATAATAAGCCAGGTGTGATGGCGCATCCCTGTAATCCCACACTCAGGAGGCTGAGGCAGGAAGACTGCCAGGAGTTTGAGGTCAGTCTGCACTACATAGTGAGTTCAAAGCTACCCTGAACTACCAGTGAGACCGTGTCTCAAAAAAAAGAAACAAAACAAAACAAAACAAAAACCAAGAGGACAATAAAGGAATGCTATGTAAAACTTCATGTGGATGGGACTCTAACCTAATAAGGTAGAACCCCACTGTTTCTGAACAACTACATCACCAAAGAAATCACAGTGCCTCCCTGTGTATGGCTTTTGGTCCCTGAGGCCAACGCCAAACTCTGGGGCCACAGCAACTCCAAGTGGGCTGCAAAGCAGCAAAGCCCCCAGAAAGGCCTTCTCCGCCGGCTCGGAGGGTGAGCATGGCAACACCCCAGAGGGACGGCCCGGGCCCAGGCCCGCAGACGACCAGGGACACCAGGGTCCTCCCACAGGGCAGAGCCAGGGCCCAGGCAAACTACAGCCTCGCTTCCAGCCGAGGGAAGGTCCACCGCAGGCGCCTGGGGTGTGACCAGAGGCTGCCGCGCACCCCGCACCGCCCCGGGCTTCCCTTCTGTGCCTGTGAGCCCACAGAAGTGTCGCTGCCTCACTCCTGTTCACTCCACCATGAAGGGTCAGCGCGGAGGGGACAGACAGGCAGACGGTGAGAACCCCATCCATCCCGAATGCCGTGACTGTGGGGGGGTGTGTGCAACAGCCCCTCTGAGGAGAAGGCGAAAATGTCTACGTTGAGAAGTCGGTGGCTACCTGAGAGGTGGAAAGATTCGTGGTAGCAGAGACAGCTGCCTTGGAGGACGCAGACTGCAGAGGTGTAGCAACGAGCACGCTCCCTTTCAGGACATCACAGGGCTCCTGGGTAACTAGCCTCCTCGCAGGCGCAGCATGGCCACGTCTAAGCGCTGCTGGTGGCAAGTGGGAAGAAACGACTCCATCACTCTGGGGCAGGTTCTTTAAAGGGCTGTGTGTCCACTCGCCGCCTTCTCCTCCTACTGGCTGAGTACAGCTGTGCCGGGCGCACCCAAGCAGCCTCCATGAGCCAGTGATGGAAGCCAGGTGTTGACACTGGCAGCGCTGCCTTGCACCAGCCCCAGGCTGCCAATCTTTGAGTCATGAGGTAAGAGGAAGAAACTTCGGTCCTTTTCACACTACTGGACCGGGAGAGAGATTCCTCTGTTACGTCAGCTTAGGCTGAAATTACTAATGAGTAGGTGAAAAAACTAGAGAGTACAACTAAAGGTGCCCTTCTGCCACGTGCAGCAAGAATAAAGACCGGGTCAGAACGCTGCTTACCCTGGCAGTGTGACGGGATGAACTGAGGGACCCTGGGCAGGCTTAGGAGATACTGGCTCAAAGCTCTGGTTTGCTTTGATTTGGTTTTTGTATTGGTTTGCTTTTCAAATATTGCATGTATCAGTCAGCTCTTGTCTGGATAAAAAAAGGCTAAGTATGCCTGAAGAGGCTAGAGGATTCTTGTTGTTTTGAGACAGGGTCGTGGTTTGTAGTTGAGGTTGGCCTGAAGAGGATTCTCCAGGAAGAAGGAATGAGATGGGAGGAACTACTATGATAAGGAAATGATGAGAGATCCATTTAAAACATTTATAGGAAAATATGTGTAAAGTTAATCTTGTTCCTTCTCTTCACAAAGTTTCCTGAAGTCAACATTATTTATGCTTTTGGAGTTGGACTTTTTTTTTTTTTGGAAGGAGTGAGGGATTGAGGCTGAAATTCACCTCAAGGGGGCAGCAAGGAGCCCAGGAGGACTATGATACATTAAGTCCTGATAGGACAGGAACATCCAGAGGGTACAGTGGCCTCAGCCATGAAATGCGCTGTCACTAAGGAGAGAGAAGAGGAAAGGCTGCCAGAAGGAAGGCCGGAGGCCGGGAAAACCACTGACACTGCAGTGCTGGGCGTGCCAGAAGTACTGCTCACCTATGGATAGGAATTTTGCTACGGATTCATTTTGCCTTTCCCTATTATTAAATTCTCTATGACAAAAGGCAGTTTCTACGCTTGAGTTATAAATATTTTTAACATTGAAGACTTGGTTATAGAGACTGAAGCTGTGAATCAAAGAATGCCTCGGATCAGTTTGGATTTTCCAAATTGACACTGTGAAGACCCCTTGCAGGAATGTGAATTCACTTCGTATCCCCTCCTCCCCCTGACAAGCTGCCATGAGACGCACAGGTTACCCTCCAAGGAAGGGCCAATGGCGCCACACGCAGAAGTCATCCTCCTGCCAACCAGCCATTCAGGGTCGGCCTCAGTGGCCCAAGAGCTTATCCGCCCTGGAGTCCCGACAGATTTGGGGCTCCACAGAGTTCCCAGCGTAAGAGAACTTGGACACCGCACGGGCTCCAACATGACATGCCAGGAAAGCAGAAGCCCCGTCCTCTGTGGGGTTGGTGCAGGCTTTAGGAGGCAGCCACCACAGCTCCACCACCCCACTTCCTCTCCTGCTTCCTGAGCCTGACGCTCACGAAGGCCCGCATTCCAGGCCCCATCTCAGCGTCTGCTTCCAGAGAAGATGGCGGCCACTTGGCTGACAGGAAGGCCTCTCCTGGCCTAGCGAGTCAGGGCAATCTGCTGGAGCTCAGGCTCAATAAAATCTCCTATTAGCCCTGCCACAGCAGCCACACTAGCTGGACAGTTGCGTGTAGCAGCCTGGAGAAACTCCCTGGGCTGGTGAAAGGCCTTTCTCAGGGACTGGCTTCCTGACTCTGGAGCAAACCAAACTTGACCTCAAGCCAGTCTCTGCATCACTGCAACCAGCTTCAATATTTTATGAAAAGCATTTTTTGTTTATTTTTCAGTTGACTGTAGGCTTCTGGTTTCTTTTGCTTTTATTTCTTTATGTTCTTGTTTATGCATCTGCCCCCTAAGCACCTTGGCAGAAGCCTGATGTCTGTCTTGTTGCATTTCACCCACAGTATACGGCTGAGGAAAGGCGGCATCTTATTTTAGTGCCATGTAGATGACTTATCAGAGAGCTCTGAAATGAATAAAATGAGCGCCGCCACTAAACAGAACAGCAATAGCAGTCATCGTTCCTCATGCACAAAATTCAAAATTAGCCTCTGGCTTTGACAACTCTTCCTTCAGCAAAGCACAAGGCAGGAGCCAAAAAGGAGAAAAAATTCAAAATATTTGAAGGAAATACTCAAACTCAATGTGATAAAACCTTGAAACCCGAAATATCTCCATGAACTTGTGCTCCATAATGAGGGATAAAGAATCCTTTTATCTCTCTTAAACAGGAAGGAAATAATCTTCTTTAAAGTGAGTCTGATGAGTTAAATAGCGGCCCCTAAGAAGGGATGTTCAAGTCCTTACCCCTGGGATTTGGGCATGTGACCTAATTTAGCAAAAGGGTCTTCGCAGATGTCATTAAATTAAGGATCTTGAAGTAAGGTGAGATGAGCCTACCTCACACAATCATCTCACCCAAAACCCAGCGACTGGGTCCTGTAAGAGAGAGTGGAGAGGACCCGAGACTCAGAGAGCCGGGAGAAGGGGATGTGAAGACCCACGGGAGACCACGGTGAGTGAGTGCCTGCACACCACAAACTGCCAGAAGCTGCCAGAAGCTGGAAGCAGTTCTCCTCCGGTGCTCCAGAAGAAACCCACCCCACTGATACCTGCTTTGGAACTTCTGGTCTCAATAACTGAGAGAGAATTGAGTTCCAAGGTTAAAGACACCCAGGAAACTATCACAGATGAGGAGGAAGTACTTACTTCCACGGGGCCACGGGCTCTCCAACGGCTGGGTCGAGCCTCGATTTCGAGCGGAGCCGAGCACACTCTGAAGCGCCTGCGTGTTAATGTAGCAGGGGTCGTCGAAGAGATCCGCGTGACACGAGGGTTTCGCTGAGGCAGCATCTCGCTGGGCCTGGGCCCCTCGCTCGAGGGCGTCACCTGCAGGGACCAGCAGTGAGCCGGGCATTATAGTCTCGCTCGGTGACAGCATGTCATGTTGGAGAACGCACAGGAAGCTGGAAGTCATGCCCACCACGAGCAAGGACTGAACACTGGCTTGTGAACTGGACCCGTGAAGTCAAGATAAGCAAAGCACCGGTCTCAGAGGAAGAACCGCCTCTCCTTGGGGTTCCCTGCCCTCTGCCCCGTGCCTCAGCTGACTCACTGCTTCCGAAGCAGACGGGAGACCAGCGGCAGGAAGAGCCCGCGCAGGCAGAGGGCCACTGTCTCTGCCCCGAGGGGGGGCCGGGGACCAGGAAGGTGCACCTATCACACTGAACTTGAGTATTAACTGCTCAACCCCTTCCAAAAGTCCGTCACTTAATTCAAAATTCTTCCTATGAATTAAAATCATTAAAAATAAATGAATGACTACAGTAAAATTCTCAGGAGTGGAAAGTCTGGCTTCCATCTCCTCCTGACGTTGTCTCTTGCCAAGCTCAGCTCTGCACCGCGGGCTGGTGTTTAATTCTATTCTCCGGGGGAAGGGCTCTACCGGAATTACCTCCGCCCCTCGCCTCACTTCTCCTGCTCAGTCCCAGTCTAGGGGGTGGGTGGGGCAGACGAAGTTTTACACTGTAAATCTGACCCTACATCTCGGCCACCTTGCCTCCGCTTCCCATCCCCATGGGCGCTGCCCGAACGCCCACACAGCTGCCCTCCCCCTCCTCTCCCAGCCTCCGCCAGGGCCAGGGTCGCGCCAGTTGTGCGCGTCTGATCTCCCCGCAAGCCAGCCCAGCTTCTGAGGACCTGCTCGCCTCACCCCTTCTCCATCGCCCTCGGCCTCACGGTCAGTTCAAAGCCCTCCCTCCCCAGCGCCCCATCCCTGGGCCCCAGACTGGACGGGGCTTCTGCTTTCCTGGCAGTTTGCCCTTAACCTGGGACACCCACACTACCAGACAGCAGGCCTCTCACTTCCACTACGATCTGTGCAAGGTCTGCACTGTGTCTGGTCTACACGCCCCGTGCAAGCTGGGACTTCGGTCCGCAAGCGCCTCTGATCTGTCCCGGAAGGACAGGCCTCATCTGGATGCCGCGCCTCGGTGACCAGCGCTAGGATTCTGTGCATCGCGGGGTGGGACCCCAGAGCACGCCGAGCAGGGGACGCCCAGACCAAGACTGCGAGCTTGCGGCCAGCCCTCCCGGCTCCCTCTCAGGGGGCTGGCCCTTTCCTGTCACACCCCGTAGGGGGACATCCGGAGGGGGCGTGGCCGTCTCCAGGCAGAGGGCTGCACAGGACACCACGTTTGTATCTCCTTCTTTAAGCAACTTGCTTTCACAAATGTAAAGTGGCCCCAAGATCACTGCCAAGAAATCAAGGACTAAAAGTCAGCATTCTGCTTTTTGTAGCAGCTCCTCCTTTGCTGCCTCGTTGTAACCGAGAGGTTCAAAGGGATCTTTAAAGCCTAGATTTGCCTTGTCTTTTTCAGAGACAGACTGTTGTGTTCCCCGCCCCCAGGAGTGAACAGCGCACCCAGGCCGGCCTGCGGAGCCTCCGCAGTTGCCAGCCCAGGGCCCAAGCCTGGCTGAATCTGCCCAGGCGCGTTCCGTGGGATCTGCACTGCCTGGTCTCGACCCAGAGCTCCTCTGCCCACCCACAGGGGAGGGCGAGCTGCCCTCTCCCCCCTGGCGGAGTCCCAGACATGCTCCTTTTCCCGCTCGCAGGGCCTTCTCTGCACTCACTGACCCGCCTGTGCCTCACCACAGCGCGCCTGGGTCGGCCACGTCGAATTCACCATCCCAGAGGGCTGCACAAAAGCAGCAGTGCCTCCGCCCAGCCACTCCGGACCCCGCCACTGCGTTCTTTAGTACAAATGCGCCATCACAGGTACGTGCGCAGTGCTGGCCGCAGTTTTTTAACACGGTGTCCTCCTTCACAGCACCTGGATGGCTCCCATCAGCCGCAGGTCTTGGTTTGGTTTCCTCTCCCTCAGGGAGACCTCCTATAACCCCGACTGAGTTAGCTTTCCCTATTGTTCGTTCCCATCACATCTTGGGCTCTGGAACACCTCTGGCCGGTGCTGGCCTCTGTGGAAGGTGTGTCTTGCCGGCTGACACGCACACGCGCGTGTATACACACACACACACACACAAGTGCCAGTGGCATTCCCATCCCCAGCACCTCGCACAGAGCCCGAGTGTGACAGGACCTCCACGGGGTCATCGCGTGAGCTGTTGCTGAGTGGGAACGTGGACAAGAAGCATGATAAGCAGGGATTCCCAAGAGAGCTTCAGCGGGAAGGGCAGGAGGGTGAGGGGAACTATAGGTTCTGGAGAGCATGACTGTAAGAAGACCCCACCCGCACCCTTCATTCAGCTCATTTTGTCACATTATTAACAATCAGTTTGGAATTTTAAATAACTTGGAAGAATAGCATGGAATTTTAATCTCTGTCAAAAGGAGCCCTGTGTTTGTCTTGTTTTTTGGGTACTGGGGATTCAAGCCAAAGCCTTCACACCGAGCTATATCCCCAGTCTTTCTGTGAGCTTTTTAATCTGAAAGAGAGTCTTGCGGGCTCCTCCTGCCTCGGCACCCCTGCTCCCCCCCAAGAGTGGCAGTGGGATTACAGGCGTGCACCATCACACCCAGTTTAGGTGTCTTTTTCTTTGGTACCAGGAATCGAACTCAGGACCTCACACTTGCCAGGCTGAGGCTTGTGCCACTGAGCTATCCCCACCCCTAGGACTCACGTTTTTAAAGAAGTTAAAAATACTGCCTTAGGCCATCACTCTATTTTTATGGACAGAGAGGGGAAAGTGAGAACCAGAGCTGTGCTCCAAACAATAAATCCTCACATGTGCTTGCCACATTAAAATAATACTGCACAGGAAACCCAAAGGGTCCGAAGGCGGCAGCTTCCTACTCATCTGAGTCCTTAGGCAGGGCTCTCCCACTGTTCTGCGCTACTTTATCCCTGCTCTTCAGTCCTTTGCACTCTGGTTCTAAAGTCCAAAGCTAAACTTCCCTTTCCAAATAAATATTTTCCGCAACTTCTAAGAGTAAATGACTTGGGGCTGGGGATTTAGCTCAGCGGCACAGCGCCTGCCCGGCAAGCGGAAGGTCATGAGTTCGATTCCCGGTACCGGAAAAAACAAACAAAAAAAAGAGTAAATGACTAAGTGACAGTATAATCTGTTTTTACGGAAATACATTTCCGATCTGACGGCTGATGTCCCACACTTGGCTGTGGACAGTTTCGCCCAACACCAACGACCACAAGCACCGATCAGATTACAGGGCCTGAAGCACAAGGTACACTGGCCCGGCCGCGACTGGCCTTTCAGGTGTCTTTCACTCCTCTTGGGACGTGGAATGAGGGCTCTGGCGGGCATCAGCTTTCCTATTCCTTTACTGCCCCTTCTTCCTGCAGGGGGCGCTCCCCGAGCGCTGAGCAGACAAAGCACCCTGCCCCGTAGGGCGATTCCACGCTGTCACCGCAGTGAACGACCCCACACAGCAAGGCAGGGGACGCCAGCGCAGGGAAGGGCTGTGAGCCTCTGCGGTGCCCTCTCAGGTGACACACTTGTGACCCGAGCCGCCGGGAAGCCTGCAGCCAAAGGATTCCGGGTTTCGCCCCATGCGCACCTGGCTTTTCCAGGTGTCCAAGAGCCAGGACCACACACATGCGCATCACCGAAAAGGCTCCGGGAGGGGACAGATGGGGCAGTACCGCACCTACCTGCTGCCCTGCTCTGCTCCCGACAGTTCTCATACACACTGCTGCACTCGGAGCTCCCGGGCTGCAAGGAGAACAAACGGTGAGGCATTCACACGCACAGGACACACTCACAGGTGTTTAAAAAACCCCTGCGAGTTCCCAGGAGGACATAAAAGAGCCTTCGCCTTCCTGTAGGCACAAGAAGCCTCGGACAGGTCAGACGCCGCGGTACGGGGAGGGAGGGTCCGCGGCTTTCAGTCCTGCTTCGGGCTGCAGAGGTGGCTGATGGGGCGGGGGTCACAGGGACGGCCCCCATCCTCCTTCCCCGGGTTTCTGCTTCTGCTTGGGAGGTCACACTACAGGCTCACAGCGTCAGCCAGAAAGCGATTTTCAGGACATTTTTATCGACACTGTCAGCCGCCGTCTAATTCTGAGCTGACAGCCAGGAGCCTCATTCTACCCAGAGTTGTGCCAAGCTCAGGTCTCATTCTTGAACCTCATGCAAGCAAAGGCTTCAGCCGCCCTAACCCAGAGCCATGCCCATGCACAGACGCCCCGGAGCAGGGCGGGTCCCGCGCGTGGGCAGGTGTCTGTGACGATACCACACGGCCCGGCTACAGGGACAGGACTGACACAGCAAAGGGCTTTCAGAATCTTCAGGCCCAGTGAGGACTAGAACTTGCAAAGGTGCAGTAGAAATGGAAGCGTTTCGGTGAATTCCCTGGATATGTTCACGTACAGTCCCAGGTCTTGAAGACGGGATTGATAAGAGGTCCCCAAACGTGAGACAGGCCACGGGTTAGCAGAAGTGTGGCCGTGCCATTAATGAGCAGGGACACAGGAGAGGAACAGAGTCTGGAGTCGAGGAGAGGACGCTGAGCTCAACCGTGACGCAGACAAGTAAGCGGGATGCTGCGATGTAGCCTGCCAGCCGGAGGGCCAGGAGAGGGCTGTGACAGCGAAGGCGCAGGATGCGCGAACACCGGGGGCGAGGTGGCCCGGGCAGAGCGCTGGGGCAGGGTGTGGGCTTCCAGGGAGGAGGTGGAGGAACAGATGATGATATAAAAAGAAAAGGCACAGTTGATTTTGGAACGGATGTGTCCAAAATAAGAGGGACTGACAGATGATAAATGGTGACATATGTGATAAAATGCTATCAAGTAGAATGAAATGGCATTGCAGAATCCAGACGGGGAGTATGTGAGCCTTTGCCGCACAGTTCCACTGTTCTCACCTGTGACGATACTCATGCAGTGTTGGAGGAAAGGAGAGAAAGAGACAGCAAAATGAGACGGACGAAGGAAGAAGAAAAGGCAGAGAGGTAGAGAAAAAGAAGGAGCAGTAACTAGAGATTTGGGGAGACAATGGCAGAATAAAAGTGTTTTGCACGCTGACAGAAGAGATCTCCATAAGAAAAGGCAGCCAACAGATGTCAGATGGTACCGTCAGATGTGGACTACACCAACAGGGAAACAGGTTCAGCGATCAGAGGACTGCTCACCGCAGTAAAAGGCATGTCTATCAAGCTGTCAAGCAGAGTTCAGACCTCAACAATTGTAGGACAAAAAAGTACAAAGCAGATACGAAAGCAAAGACATACGCTTCATGGGAGCCTATGAGTGACAGGAAGATGAGGAGGCAGGCACTACTAGCTGGGCTGGAGGAGTCCACATTGATGTGCAGGCAGAGGGGCCGCGTGATCTGAGGAGGAGTGCAGGGCGGGGGCAGCGGGACAGCAGAGGATGCAGAGGTGGCGGGAGGGGTGCACAGCCCGGCATGGTGGACTTTCTCTAACCTAGCATTTGGAAATCCCGGGCAGAATCCCATTGCTGTCCCAGGAACAATAAAACGTTACTTACCAGGTAGCACAGCTTTTCACAGCGAATGGGGCAGTACGCCGTCTGTTCTGGGGTTTGCACTCTGACCCGAATGTCAGACACACCGCCGGCCGGGGGCTGCTTGCCCGGGATCTCGTTGTAATATTCGTGCTCTTCCCCCTCCTGCGCGTGGCTGTCAACCTGCAACTCCTCACTGCCAGGGAGAAGAGAAGCCCAGAGAGATGGGGTGCAAAGGGATCAGAACTGGGCAAATCATCCCGGAAAACTGTGCATTCGTGTGTTAGGTTTACAGCTGAGCTTGAGCAATGTCAAAAAGTGTAGGACAAAGAAGTATAGAGCAGATACAAAAACAAAGACATAGGCTTCATGGGAGCCTGTGAGTGACGGGAAGATGAGGAGGCAGGCACTACAGCTGGGCTGGAGGAGTCCACGCTGATGTGCAGGCAGAGGGGCCACATGATCTGAGGAGTGTAGGGCAGTGAGAAGCAGCAGTGGTGTGGCTAGATTTCTGGACAGAGAGTGGAGTGAGCACACAAAATGCATCTTCTGTCTCGCCCCAGTGGTTGATGATGATGATGATGATGATGATGATGATGACGACAATTATGAATTCCCTAACTGTAAGGCACTTTTGCCTCAGGATCATAAAAAAGCAAAGTCTCCCTGGGAATCTCCAGCATACTTCAATTGTCACATTTGGGAAATGTTTTACTCAAAGAAAATTTACACGTTATTCTTTGGGTGGAGGTCCTGGCCCAGTTTATTACGCTAAGATTTAAAAAGAGAGAGGGAGTTCCGACCAGCCATCTAGTCTGCCCAGCGCCTGATGAGCGGATGGGAACCACAAAGGGAGGCAAGGACCGTGTGTGGCAAGTGGGGAGAGTTACATAAACACGCAATGGGATTTAAAACTGAAACAGGGAAGAAACAAGTGGAACAGGGAAGAAACTTTTCCACCAAACTATCAGTACAAGTTTCTCATAAAAAAGAACAAATCAAACCATTTTGAAATCAGCTGATTCTATTGACAACTCACGTGTTCTACTGGGCTCATGACACGTGAACGAAAAGGTAGCACCCAGAGGCAAGTGTCACGGGGGAAATTCAGCATCAGTGCTTTAAGTAACTCTCTTCCCCTTGCTACCTAGACCACCTCCTAAGGGAGATCTCTGGGCCATACAGAATGACTTGTCACGGAGACAGGGTCTCGTTTTATAGTTCAGGCTGGCCTTGAACTCACAGTGACCCTCCTGCCTCAGCCTCCCGAGTGCTAGGATGATAGGTGTGCACCACTACGCCTGGCTGCAAAATGCACTTTGAAGCACCCAGGGCTTCATTTCATGGATATGAACTGCGTGGGCTGCAGGCCTCGCTGGACCCCGCAGTGGTGGGGCTGACCAGCCCCGAGGGGGCCCTTTTGCTGCAAATTTTCTGTGCTTAGACCCCAGGTGGCTGGGTCACACCGGGAACCACCGCCCACCAGTTTACCTAAAACCAGCAAGGGACAGGGGTTTCCACCACAGACCTTTGACTCTTCTGATTTTGCTCTTTGTTTTTGGTTTTGCTTTTTTGTTTTTACTGACGAATAAAAAAAGTGTGGTTAAAGCCAATCTGAGAAGATTTTTCTTATATTTAATTCACAGCTCTGTGCTAACAGTAGGGAAACGGGACTGACCTCTTCTCACTGTTAGTGTCTCCTTTAACCCTGTTACAAAGCAAGGAAAGATCTGGGCAAATCTGAACGGAAGGCCGAGGCAAGATAACTGCAAGTGTGAGCCCAGCCAGGGTAACTCTGTCAAGATAAAAAAGGGCTGGGAATAGAGCTCAGTGTGAAGGCCCTGAGTTCTATCCCTAGCACCGCACACACTCATGCACGCAGGTACACAAAAAAATGCAAGAAAAAGAAGCGTCACTATTATTTTGAATTGAAAATGTACCTATTAGTAAAAAAAAGAAAATTACTAATTACATCAGCCTATTTTAAACCATCCTATTCATTTTAAAATATATAGAGAGCAAGCCAAATAATGATTCAACTTTTGACTGACCTTTCACTAGAAATATTCAAAGAAGGATTTTTCAAGTACTGTTTGAATCGGAGTTCGAAAGCCTGCCCAATGGTGCTTATGACATCCTGGGCTGTCCCGTTGCGGCATTCCAGTATGTGGCATGCTGGGAGAGACATACAAAAATACTGTAAGTTGTCAGTGAGAGAAGATTATACAAAGTCAAAATGCTTCCAAAACTTTGTCGGGCACGGTGGCGCATGCCTGTAATCTCAGCACTCGGGAGGCTGAGGCAAGAGGATCACTGTGAGTTCAAGAACAGCCTGGGTTACAAAATGAGCTCAAGGCCAGCCTGAACTGCATAGAGACCCTGTCTCAAAAAGACAAAAAGTAAATAAACAAAACTTGACTGGTATTGAATAAAAGGAAGCGCGTTTACGAACTCCACTGGGTTTTGAAATAATATAAAGAATTTAGCATATGAATCAATGAGAAAAACATATTCCAATTTTACATCTAAATATCTCTAAACACAAATGTTGGTCTTAAGGCAAAGTCCATTTCTACAAAGGTGGATGGCCTGACTAACGGTGTCACTAACAGCTAGGCGTTTGCTCTTGGATTCGGCGCGGGAGGTCTTAGGGCAGCAATCTGACAGGAGGCTTGAGGTCTCATCTCCGCAAGGTCCATTGCAGAAGACTGAAACGAGGTAACTTTCCAAGCCTGTCCCCAGAATGGCGGACGAGATGCTGGCGAAGAAAGGGATTAGGGATCCTCCTTCCTCTCTCTTGTCACCCTTTGACTGCCATTGCTCCCATAAGCCAGGGATAAGTATAATACCCCCCCCATCTTTGAAATCTCACTAAAGCATGATCTCCAATATACATTCAAGTCAAGACTAGGTGAAGATATTAAAGTTTTTATTAGATTTTTCTCTGAGAAGCAGAGCAGTTTTCACACGATTCTGCTGATAATCATCTCAAGGTATCTCAGATACTCTCATTTCAGAATTAAGGTGACCTTTATTTAAACAATTTATGCCTCAATACTTTTCCAAGGGATGGGCACTTGTAGCCTGAAACAGACTTAGAGCTAATTCTAGCTTTGAAAACTCAGTGACAATTCTGCAAATTTACATTCTTTCTGGCAAAAAAAAACTGCTCTGTCTTTAGACTGTCACTGTATATTTCCCTATATTTTTTCTATAGTAGTTTTTCATAGGGACAAACAGAGGCAGTACTTTAAAATATTTGTTAAATTAATATGTTTCCCTGAATCACATCAATATTTCTGTAAAAAAAAAAAAAAACCTTCTTACAGTCATTGAGTGCTAAATGTTTTGAGTCATTTTTAAAGTCTTTCCTTCTGGGTCTAAAAGATACTTGGGAAATGTACCTTCTAGTTGAACCCAGAGAAGTCCTGTTACCGTATACAGAAAGGTTGTTCATTTGAATTCTTTTCTTTGCAATCTCACACATTAGTAGTCCAATTAAAAATCAAATCCAAAACAGAAATCTTATGAAAATAGACACAACTTGAGTGATTTTATTTTTCCTTAGGATTGAGAAGATGCTGAGACATGAGGGTGTGGCAGAGACTGGGTGAGACAGGCAGGAGATTCAGGCACGAATAAAAAATCAAAGAAGAAAACTTCACCTTTGATGAAAGAAATAAGGGACTGTGGATGTTTAAAAGAATTCAGTGCAAAGATTCAGGGCTGCGTTCAGGTTGCAACTCCGCCACTACCTATGTGACCTTCAATAAGACCCTCCACAGGCAGGGCCTCCCCCACCAAGACAATGCATGGGTGACTGGTGAAGAACCTTCTGCTTTACAGAAACCCCAGCTTTCCCTGTCACAGCAGCTGTGATCCTCTCAGAAACAGGACAAGGCGTGTGGGACCCAGGAAGAACAGATCAACAGAGCACGCCGACCATCCTCTGCCACTCCTACTGCACTTCTGAGACTTCCATGTACTCAGCTTCTCTGATTCTGATTCCTGGACATTTTGGTCCTGCCTATGGGAGGGCTGATTCTACCCACATATTTTCCTGCTTTGCTTTGGATAACCCTGTTACTGACACATTGCTTTTTGAGAACACTGAACAGAAAGAACACAACAAAAAAGCAGTGGCGCCTGTGTCCCCCCAATCACAGAGGGGACACGGGACACATAGCTGTCGTGGGACAGATTCCCCCCTCTCACCACCTGCAGGGAAGACAGTGCCTTTGTTCCCACTCGCAGACATGCTGCTCTGTGAAGATGGTCTTTGGTAGAGCAAAAGACCCTACAAAATCACATACAAGGAGTAAGGGAGAAATGAATGACTATTTAGAACTTCTCCAATTAAACACAGTAAAAGGCACACTGCCATGAGTCCTCCTCAAAATCCTACTCCTCCTTTTGAACACACTTAACCCATCATTCCTGCCCCTTTCTGCAGCAGCTCTGGAAGTCCCCTTTCGTGAGTGTCTTTAGTTGTGCTGCTGTGGCTGCCTCAGTGTCCTGAACTGATTCAAAATGTTGACCTCTCATGGGCATGCTGACTTTGAGGAAGAGCCAGAAGTCACGCAGTGCCAGATCTGGTGAATGAGGTGGATGAGAACACACCCAAATGCTTTTAGAAGCCTGCCTGGCCGGGGATATAGCCCAGTGGCACCGTGCCTTGCTTGGCAAGCACACGGCCCTGAGTGCAGGTACGAGGCATTACATGAAGTAAGATTTAAAAGAATCTTAGATTCCTATTCTGTCTGTTTCATTTGTCCTCCTAACTGGGTGTTTAGAGATGAGAGGACGAAAATTATTCTTAGCGGTAATGGTCCTTTTTACTAGTTTCATTTGTTTTGAACGGGCCAATTTTTTGTTGTTAGAAAATGAATTGAAACGGTCAGCCTTTCATGTCGGCCAGCAGATGGCGCCAATGGACTGAAACGACGAGTCCACTTCTCAGCAGCCAGCCGGGGGCAGCTAATGTTACCAGTCCATGGGTGCATGTGCTTCGTAGCCATAAACATAAATTCAAATTAATGGTTCATTTAAATTGGTCTTTTGGGTTGTAAAAGCCTTCTTCAAAGACTCAGAACCATGGCTTTCCTATATCCAGACAGCTCAGGTAAGCTGGGGTGTCCTTCCAGACTAGATTGGGAGAAAATACTAAAACCTGCTCCACACTTAGAAGGGAGAAGAACATGGATCTCCGCGTGTACAGCAAGTACAGGGAGAGGGGGTGTTGTCCCTGAGCAAATCAAACGTCCTTACGCGAACTTGCCTTTCCTACACAAGAAGCCTCCTGTGTAACGAACAGTCGCTGCAGGGTCCTAGCCGTGATGGTAAAACGTGACAGCAGTAAAGCAAAAACCGAACCCAGCACCGAGGAACAGTGGGAACATTCAGGTTCTGGCAGGAAGCCGGCCTGCGCCCAGCTCCCCTCTGCGCGTTCACCAAGCTTCTGCCTCTAAGGCGACCCAGGGTCTGCTGACTGCAGGGTGTCTCTGCCTTTGTCCTCTCCACCCGTTTCCAGGCTGTGACCACTCGAGATGAAGTTCGCTCTTCTCTTTCTCAGGGACCCTTCATCCCTTCGTAGTCTTTCTCCTCCGACCACCCTAGGCTCTAAAGCTCTAGGCATCCTTTGACTTCTCCCGCTCCCTGGAATCCTGCTGCTCTTCTCAGATCCCTCCTGCAGTGATCTCACCCTTAGGGAGATGCCGCAGGTCCCCCGCCTCACCCTGCACCTCATTTTCAGTTCTCTCCTCCTTCACCCTCTCCCCTTCTCTTTCCTCTCCCTTGAGACCTCCACAGGATTGGGTAACGTCACCTTTTGGGTGTCACTGTTTTTATTCAAGTATGTAGAACATTTTTTTCTTAACTAGAACAAATATTCATTGTAATACTTTTAGAAAATAAAAAGGCAGCTGGGCATGCTGGTGCACGCCTGTAACCCCAGCACTTGGGAGGCTGAAGGAGGAGGATCATTGGAAGTTCGAGACCAGCCCAGGCTACAAAGTGAGCTCAAGGCCACCTGAACTGCATAACGAGACCCTGTCTCAAAAAGACCAAAAAAAAAAAAAATAAATAAAAAAATAAAAAATAAGGCAATAAGAAGAAAAAAGGTACATGAAATCTCACCATCCACAGACAACTCTTATTAACAATTAGGTGTGTTTTTCCACATGTATCGTCATGTACTCACCACCCAAAATTATCTGAGGGGCCTACCATACATATTGCTTCATACCCCACTTTTTGTACTTTAATAGGGTTCTAAACATTTCCCCCTATACTATCACTTATTTTTCTAAACTAGTCTTATGATTGCTGCATAATAATACAAACTATGGGTTCATTTAAACGATTTTCTCATTATGGATATGGGATTAACTTTACTTGTCCTATCATATAAACATGTGACAGTCTGTACTGTTTAGTCTTTGTGCCTACTGTAATGCTTCCTCAGAAGCGAAATTGCCGGTTTAAAAGATGTTTACATTTTTAAGACTTTGATGCAAATTGTCAAATTGCTCTGCAAAATGTTCAAATCTATGTTCTAATCAGCAATGTTCAAAAAGTACTATTCTAAACCACATCTTACCATTTGTTAATGTTTGAAATTTGGAGATGGAATGTGATATCTAATTAAAACTTGTGTGTCTTGATTGCTAGTGAGGCTAAACCTTTCATCTTTCTAGTGTTTCTTGGTCCGTCCTAACATCTTTCTGTAAAGCTGTGCTCAGAACCTCAGATTGGTCCACCCACTTATTGGCAGGTGACACTTCGGTTCATTTCTGTCTATAAAAAAGGAATCTCATCACTACCTACCTACGTCTCGGGCTTGTCATGCGGATGAAATGAGTTTATGGGGGCGGAGTGCTCCTGACGAGGCCTGGGATTTGTGTGCAGGTGACAAATGGTAGCTATTTTTCTTTGCCCTGTTTTTCTATCACATTCTTGTCTTTTTCCTACTCTTAAAAATCCCTATTTCTTTACTGGCAATACCACCCCAAGTCATGCAGAATAATAATGACAATAGCAATAACAGATACCGTTTATTACATATTTTGTATAAGCCAAGTATTGAGATATCTGCACTATATCCCCAAGCCCCAAGATTTTTTATTTATCTTGAGATAGGATCTTGCTAAGTCCCTGAGTTGTCCAGACTGGGCTTGAACTTGTGATCCTTCTGTCTCAGCCTCCTAGAGTGTTGGGATTACAGATGTGTGCCACTGTCCCTGGCTTGATTCCTACTTCCTCATCTATCCTCGTGTCTTAATAGCCATTAAATAGTTCACAAATGCAGCTCAAACTGCCCCTTCCTCCTCCAAGGCAATGCAGAACATCCCCCCTTGGCCCAGTACTAATGAGATGTTCTCTGAGTTGGACTCTGTAATTCCGGACTGCTTTTCCACCCCCCAGTATCACTTCAGAGACACAAGTGCCAGAAAGATGATCATATTACAATGTCAGCAGGATGGTGAAGCCATAATAAATTTCATAAGCTTCAAAATCATCGATGGCACCTAGTGCCGTGCGGCTGGCACGTGCTGCCCTCCACACCCCTTCTGGCTGTCTACTTCTGGTCTTTCCTTCTCCGCAGCCTGCCTTTACACACGCACTCACACGCCGTCCGAGCAGCGCCGTAGCTCCCCTCACACTGCCCCTTCCTGTGCCTTCGTCCACCCACCCACAAACCCTAACTGAGCGTCCACATGCATCCGCTGCTCACCTGCCAGCTCTCCTTTTCCGTGGCCGTCTTACAGACTGTGTTTACCGCTCTCGTTGAAGACGGTGCTTGTGGTGACCAAGAATTATTTTCCTTCCATCAGGACCAGCTCAACCCTCGCCTGCTAGGATGGGATTAACAATTACCTGTGTCATGACCTCCCCGCAGGGCCCAGGAGCCCAGGGGCTCCGTGGAGGAAAAGACTTGACACAGAGGAACATGTAGGCGGGGGGTATGTTAAGAACACAGCTGCCTCACACAGGGATCTGTATGACAAAATGAATGAGCAGGACCAAGGGCACCAGAAGAGGAGGAGCCAGTGATGGGGAGAAAATAACTCTTAAATCCAAGGAAATGGAGCGAATGGATCTAGATCCTATGGATCTAATTATCTGTCTACTCAGCGAGACCAGTTTTCTTAAAGAAAGGGAAAAGAGACGAGGGAGGAAAGAAGAAGATGCTTCGTGCGTCATCTCAGTAACTCAGCCCAACAGCACTAGGAACACAGGGACGCCCTCACTCCCACTTACAAGACAAAGAAGTCGAGGTTTGTAGACGTGAAACGAGCAGCCTGGTGTTGACAGTGAAATGGTGGGAAATTTATTATTCCAACCCAGCCTTCCTGTCTCCAGCATGGGTATCGGCTGACAGGCAAAGAAGAAACTGAACCCGCTATGGCGGGTGCTTCTATCCTCAAAATCCACGTGCCAGGATCCCACGGATCCCATTCACAAAACTCAGCTCTGAAAAGCTACTGGGGCACCACACAACCGCCCTCCAGGGATTGTGCTCCACCTTCACTTTCTCTGCCTGTTTCGCTCAAGTGAGGAGAGAGATCTGCAAACACACTGATCTTCCCGGCCGTTACCCTGAGCAACCAGTTCTGATCTCGGAACCCCTCCCTCTCTACAGTTAACTCAAGGGCAACGAGATGTCCCGAGATGCTCAACGGTGACGGCAAGGTCACCCCCGCCTAGCGTTCCTCGTGCATGTTTTCTTCCTCCCACTGCACGCTTTGTCGTTCTGGGGCTTTTCCGAGCCTAGCAAGCAGCCATGCTTCCGTGAAGTCCAGTCGGGCCATAAGAAGTCGCTCTTTGTTGCGATCCTCTGTGCGCTGTCCTCACACCTCCGCTGCTCCTCCCTGGCTCCTGTCCCCCTGCCCACCCCTTGACCACTGCCCATTCTTTCTCTGTTCAGGGTAGAGTGACCTGCCTCTAGTGCAGCCTTTCACAGTGCTTTGGGTCTGTTCGCTCCTTTCCACCTACTGGGGCCGTGTTCTTCTGGCAAGCATTTCTGAGCGCCTACTCTGCCGGCAGCTGATCCTCACCATTTCATTTCTGAGCATCACAACTGCTTGCTATTGCCTCTCTCTGCTTCAAGTTGCTCCCTGAATCCACCCACTACATCCTGCTGCCAGACCCATCTTCGTAAAGCTCTGCTTGGTAAACAGCTCCTTCCACCCACTTGCCTGCAGGACTAAGGCCCTGCTTACTGCTCTTTCCTGTCTGCCCTCCCGATGCCCTTTAGACCTGTTTTCTTCCTCCACACACATTCTGCAGTTCAGTGTATTCTATTCCTTCTCTCCTCAGTGTGCCCTGTGCCTTTCATCTCTGTGACTTTGGCTCTTTCAATTTCCAAATCCCAGGCCATGTTCACATAATAAATGTTTGAGGGCAAACTCCATCTCCGGGGTGGTGGAGGTTACCAGCCAACAGGTCTAGTTAAGGAGGAGAACTGAGCTGTGCTCCGCTCCCTATGACCAGTCCCAACGTTCCAGAGTTAGGGATGAGAAGCAATACTAACCAAGTCTGTCCACAGAGCCCCAATCTCCTGAGAAACCGCGGGCCCCTGATTCACAGTGTGGCTGGGCAATGAGCATCTTACACAACCTTGCAAAGTCCCAGGATGAGAGCGCTAGTCAATAATTCCATTCAACAAAACAAATCAGCTTTCGCGCATCTCCTGCATGCTAGGCATTGTGATGAGTGCTCGGGAAAGAACAGTGGGTAGGAGAAACAGGTTTCGGGTTTGACTGAGATTTTAGCCCAGTAGAAAGGGCACGTCAAACGTATCAGCACATGCAACACGTGGGAGGTAAGTAAATAAAATAGTAAAGTGTGAGGTTAACAGGAAGAGAAACACAGTGCTGTGACGCAGCAGGCTGGGACAGGTCCTGGAGGTGGGAGGGGCCACCAAAGGGCTGTCTGCGGAAGAGACGTTTAAGTCAGGATCCAAAAGATGAGAAGCTGACACTCAACAGTGACACGCTGGGCTCCTGAATATCAACACATGCACACAGGCACACACACACACACACACACACACACACAAAACCAACGCAGATGGATAACCTCACTGGATTGGGTCTCATGTGCAATTCATTTTTCCACTGGGGCTGTGGCTATAATGACTATAATGATCACAGCAACTGGCTATAATGACCACAATAGCTTCTTTCATGAGTTCAAAAGAGACAGGCAAAGAGATGAACCTTCTAGATGGTGGCTTGGTGCCTCAAATGACCAGGATTTAAACCCCACCTCCACATTTTTTCTACTTTGAAGTGCTGGTGAAAGGGGAAAACTGACCAAGAGAAATTGTTCCTTTTAAAACTTTGTTCTTTTGAAACTTCCTAGCTCTGTAACTGCTTCACGGCTTTGTAATTACTTCTTGACCCCTGTAAGCATGAGCGCATAACCAAACATACAAAATGATCATTAATCTACCTTGTAACCAATGACTTCACCCTGCTAGCTAATCAGAAGAACTGCCAGGCTGTTCTGTCTCACCTTTGTACCTCCTGCTTGTGCATCATATAAAAGCCCTGGACCACCAGAGATCGGGGCCTGATATTCTGGGAATGATCCCGATCAGTGCCCAGCGATGTAAATAAATCTGCCTCCAAATCCTGGGTGTCGTTTCAGTGTTTCTGCTTGCCATTACACTTACAGAGCTATTTATTTCCAACTCGAATTTACACAGTATTTCTAGAATCCATTATAGCACTCCAGAGATACTCATGACTCTATATTAAAAATAAATGCTTATTCCTGAGAAACCACTCTGAAGATACCACCACATATTACAGCAGCCATTGATATTTTCCTACTAATCTATCCATAACTGTGTAAAGTTTGTAATGTTCCTATCTTATTTCATAAATGGATGTATGTTTATTATTATGTGTTTCCTACAACAACCATTGAGAATAATGATTTTTCAATAGGTCACTCATGTATAGCTCTATTTTCTTTAGAAGCCACTTTGAAGATACCAAAGTATAGTACAACAACTCTTGATAATCTCCTACCTCTTTTGTCTGTAACTCACTATTATTTGTCTATTTGTTTTCCTGAGAAACTATTTTGTAGACAATAATATGTAAAATGATAACCATTGATAATTTCCTACCATTATGTCTGTAATTTGCTAAGTCCCCCCTATTATTATGTTATCCTTCTTTTATTCTTTAAAATAAAAAAAAAATCATTAAAAAAATAAATAAATAAATAAATGCTTAGTTGGCACACAACAACTCAAGAAAATCTAGAAGTTGCTTCCATACCTCGTTGATTAACTGGATCCTTAGCTACATAGGCAACATAGTCTGTAGTATCCTAGAAAAAAAGGGAAAAGATTGCATTTAAAATGAATGAATTGTACCACTGAAATACAGGAATACGTTCAGAACATGATGCTGAGGCAAGGACTTCACTGTGACTGCTTCTGTTTGAGGAGAAAAGCACTGTCGGAAGGAGCACAATTTACACTGCGCAGCTTAACTGTAGGATCCGTATTCTTTGCCCTCTGGGGAAAAACTTTAAGATGAAAAATTAGAAGCAGGTCTGGGGATGTGGCTCAGAGGTAACACACTTGCCTGGCGTGTGTGAGTCCCTGGGTTCAGTCCACGGCACAGTGGCCCTTCAGTTCACAGACCTGATTCTTTCCATGGTTCTGGTCACAATCCGAGTTGGACAAGAAGGGAATCAAATTCAATGGTTAGGTTCAATGTTGACCTCATGGTTTAGTTCTGGTCTGGTATGGTTTGCAACTCAGAGTCGTGGAGAGAAATGAGTTGATAAGCCGCAGCACCACTGCACCACACACAAAAATGGGGAGGCGGGGAGCTGGGATGTAGCTGAGTGGTAGAGTGCTTGCCTAGCATAGCAAGGCCCTGGGTTCAATTCCCAGTATCCAGCCCTCAAAATTTAGAGGCAGACTCTGTCATTAAGAATCAAAGAGAGGGGCTGGGGATATAGCTCAGTGGCACAAGCGCCTGCCCGGCAAGCGCAAGGTCATAAGTTCGATCCCTGGTACCACCAAAAAAAAAAAAAAAGAATCAAAGAGAATGCAGATATTAGGTCACTCTTTTAAGATGTCTAGGGACCAGGACTCTAATGTTGGAAGTTGAAGTATCAGGGATTACACAGGCACAAAGGTGTCTTAAATTAGGATGTGGGGAGACCCATTTGGGACCCCTCCTGTCTCTCAGGAGCTATTCCTACTTACACTCCCCATTCTTATTCTCCAATAAATTTTCCTACTCTTTTTTTTTTTTTTTTTTTTTTTTGGTTTTTCTCCGGTACCGGGAACCGAACTCACAACCTTGCGCTTGCCAGGCAGGCGCTTTTTGCCGCTGAGCTAAATCCCCAGCCCCTAATTTTCCTACTCTTAAAAAAAAAAATTAGGACATGGCATGAGGACTTTTATTGTCCAAATAGATACCATGTACATTAGAAAAGAAGCTGAACAAAGAGGCAGGCTGGGTTTTGTGGTTGTTCACTTCCATGTCTGTGTGCAGGACTAGGGGACTAGAGGAACAAAAAGGCAAAATGCAATGCCTTTAAGAGGACTCATGAAAAACACGCAGTTCAAACAGAGATCTGCTGCCGACTGTGTTAAAACAAACAGAACCTGCTTGGTAATTCCAGCTTTTATTGAAAACTGTAAGCTGATGAATGATAAGGTTTTAATAATTCAAGATGCTATTTGTTATCTTACTTCTCAGAAAAAAAATACAACACGAGCTGCAGATTGGAAGATGGACTTTCTAGAGGGCAGAGCAATCAACAGGCAGGAAACAGAAGCCTGAGCCTGCAGCGCCCTCAAGGAGCGCCGCTTGACAACCAATGCGCGGAGAATCAGACAGGAAGCAGGCGCCCCGAGGCAGCGCTTGTCTCAGGCTGTTTTTAAAAATACACCTGAGTAAATTTCTCATGCAAAAAGGAACTTGGGAATATTCTAAATAAATAAGGACACATCTATGAGCTTTGCTTTTAACAGCTTGGAAGTGAGGCCGACATTGCTGCTTCCGGACTCTTAGGAAGGTGAAAGGTGGCCGGAAGGCAGTCATGGCGCTGGGCATGTGGGATGGCCAGAAGGAGGCTGTGGGCCCTCTTCGGACCTCAGTGTTCTGGTCCTTAAAGCAGTCTCCACCATTCTAACAGTTTTAAAACTCTGTGGCTGGGAGAATTTAGAGAATGTTTAAAAGGAAAGCAGATGAAAAGATTTTAAAATGTATTAAATATTTGATTGCTTGCAAATTTTGCGTTTTTGAAGTAGACAAAGTAGCCCAGCGTGGTGGTGCCCGCCTTTAATCTTAGCACTCAGGAGGCTGAGGCAGGAGAATCTTTGTGAGTTCGAAACCAGCCTGGGCTACAAAGAAGTAGAGTATTTAGAGTTACGCAAGCATTCCCAAGCTGTCTTCAAGGCTGACAGAAGAAAAATGAACTGCTTTTGAGAAGAGAGTAAAGGTGCAGGTGAGCAAAGGCCACAGGTAAGGAACAATGCGGAGTATTTATGAAATTTGGAGGAAATCTGGCAGAAAGAAGATGACAGGTTGGGCCACAGAGACTTACCTAACTCAGCCTCCCACCCCTTGTGCCTAGTAAGGCTGTAAACGACTTCAGTGCATGTCCTAAGTAAATATGGACACACGTTGGTAATAGTGACCTTTGTGACTATGTGCCAGGCCTTGCACTAGCACTTTACATACATGGTCTCATCAATTCTTGCAACCCTGTCAGGCGACAGGGATCCTCCCACAGATGAGGACATTGAAAATCAGACAAGTGTAGTAAGTCAAGACCACCTGACTCCAGCACCTGGAATATTCCCAACTGCCTCCCCACAGGAGGCTGAAACTTCACTGTGTGTGTGTGTGTGTGTGGTCTAATGCCAAGGCTCGGGGTGGATCCAGATTACTATTTTAATGTGAATCAATAGACTTTCTCTGCAGATGGAGAGAACACAGAGGTTCCACTCAAGTCAGCAGATACAAATTTTCCCACAGCAGCCACAGTGTTTGTGTCTGGCAGGCAAAGTGTCTGGGTGAACCCCAAGAACTAAGAACTAAAGATACACGAAGACAGCAAGAGAAGCACGAAGATTCTGGAGAACAGTATCACAAACCATGTAGGGCGTACTGAGAGTAAGTGTTTGTGTACCAATTCTAAAATGACAGCAACCCTGGAAACTTTATACCAACACCAACAACTATTTTTCAGACTACACTTATACAGCATTACTTTAAGCCTCTTGGAAAAGTATTTCAAGTTCCTTCATAGATGACCAAGCTATTACAGCTTAGGAAGAGGAAAGAAATGTTGGTGTTTTTCAGCTTGGATGACCTGGACCCTTCCTGATATCCAACCCTTGGTGTCACAGTTGAGGCCAGATGCAATTAGCCATCCTTAGATCCCTCTGGGGTAAAAGGAGAGCTCTTCACAATTTGGTTTACTTTCATTTGGTGGTATCAAGGAACTAACATAGTCGTTTGAAAATAACTATGCCCAAGGCAGAAAGGCAAGGAAGCTGTGAAGCCTAAAGGGAAAACACAGTATCACATAAAAACAAACAAATAAGTAAGAACAGTGATTTGAAATCTTGTAAAGGTTTTTTTTTTTTTTTTTTCATAGTTCAGAAAGACGGTCTGAAGGCAAAGTGTCCTGGGTTGACATGCTTGAATAGTTTGAGTCAGTGGTAGCCAAATTGAAGACAAGTCATTTCCGAGGTGTTTTTAACAACGGTCTAGTTTAAATAGCACTGAACTATATACTTTACACATAAGCAAGTTTCATCAACAGGCAAGTGAATGAATTTGTTCAAATTTTTCAGCAGCCAGTACTGAAGCAATGATAACCCCGAATAACCTCAGAACTTTATTTCCTTCTGGGACATAGTTATTTTTTCATTTTAAATATTTCACATATAGTTTAAAATGAATTAAAACTTTCTAGTAATATCAGATGCCAGGTTTAAGCTTTTTTCCACCCTTCATACCTGTTTTAGGCTTCTCTGTTATGTGTCTCATTATTTAGGACTCTAAATTTTACTCATCAATAGTAAGTGAGAGGCTGAACATAGTGGAAAGAAAAGGATCAGCTATTAAACTGGATGTGATGGCTCACTTCTAAAGGATATAATGCTGAATAATATTTTGCAGAAAAGAAGATAATACATTCTGTGTAAAATAAGGTCTGCACACTTTCTCCATGTTTTTTGATGCTACTGAGGTTCAGCCACTGTAAATGTCACACTCTGCTCCCTTCTAGTCTTCCATGTGGTACAGATACAAAAAAATGGCCCACAGTATCACAGAGGAGAAAAAGTGTTCTTTTATTCCCTCAGTTTAAATAGATTTATTCCTTGTTCATGCATAGGCTCACTAGGTTCAGTGCCCCTCTCTGACACGACCCCCCGGCCCAGAAACACTGCAGTATGGAGTTAAGGAAAGACATCCGACCTGCAGAGTAAGAGACAGAGGCCTCCACAGTTCGTGGCAATGAGCACCATATGACCTCTTGGTAGAAAGGAACCACAAGTTCTCTCTCCGTGGTTCATTCCAGATTAAGCCAAGCTGCCTTGGTTGACATGGCCCATGGCAAGTTGGCTTCCTCTTATAGTCCAAGTCCAATTGATGAGTGGAGTCTGCCTGAGAAGAATTCTGAGGACTGGCACTACATGTACACAGATGTGCTCGTTACTCATGACTTGGATGTTTGTTATCAGTAAGAAGCTTAGCACCATACTATCAACTCATCCACTAATCTACTCTTACAAAAAGAGCCCTTATGAATGCATACTTACAGGATCCCCTCCAGAAGCAAATGAAATAGATTGCATATGATGATTTGCAATAATCTGAAAAATATAAAACAATGAAACATGTATGATGCCATAAATTACTATTCCTATTATACACAGTGTAGCAGTAATGGACCTACATTTGTTTTGTTTTTGCCTGCTTAATATCCCTTTGGGAACCACCCCACTCACATTCAATAATAATCCCTTTTGGTTTTGTTTTTTATTAGAGCCTTTCATATGCTCAATATGTACTCTGCACTGAGCTATAAGCCCCCCAATAATCTCATTTAAACCCTAAGGTTCAGGAGGGTTTGCAGGCTCACCTCACTGCCCCTCCCACCTTGTAGACGAAGGTCTAACCAATCAGAAAACACTATCTCTCTAGGTACAGAAGAGCCAACCAATGCTACCATTTGTTCCATCACTTTAACCAATAGATTTACCCTCATATATACATATTTTTTTCTATTCATGTGTATTTTTAAGACATTCACCAAATATTCTAAGACCCTAACATTTAAACTTCTAATACGAAGTAGGACTAGAAAAGTGAACTGAATTATTATTATTATTATTATTTTTTTTTTTTTTGGTTTTTCTCCAGTACCAGGAACCGAACTCACAACCTTGCGCTTGCCAGGCAGGTGCTTTTGCCGCTGAGCTAAATCCCCAGCCCCCATGAACTGAATTATTAAGCCAAGAAGATTGTCCCTCTTACTTGGAATTCCAGTTTGCTTGTTTGGAAACCATGGTGTAATGACCAATTTACAGAAATTATTTTTCTACTTAGCTAATAAGGGTTAATTAACAGTTATACACCTATTGATTAGTCTTGTTTTCAGAACTTTGTGACATATACTAAAGCTGCATATATAAGATGACCAAGCAACTTTATTCCTTGATGCATATCCAACAGAACTGAGCATGTGCAACAAGAAACAAGAAAGTCAGTAATTACGTTATCATAGCCCTCAACAAGAAACAATCCCAATTATGATTACTGTCATATTCCAACAGTGGACTACTACATAGCAACATCATGTTTTGTTGAACAAAAAAAGCCAAAAACAATGAGTATCATTTTACTTATTTACATTCAAAATCAGGCAAAAATTATTTCACTTTGAAGTCAGGATAGTGGTTATTTCTGGTGCACATTAAGAGGAAGCAAGAGGATTTCTGGGGTGCCACACATGGTACCTCTTGATGAGGGTAGTGGACTCAAATATGTTCATTTTGTGATAATTAAGCTACCCACACATTTGTGCATTTTCTATCTTCATAGTTCAGTAAAATAATCAATACACAAAGATCACATCATTCCCATATGTCAACAATAGCCAATTAGGACCCTTTATGGGGAGCATTTGATAAGAGTATACCTAAGTATGAAAATAAGAATCATGCAAACCTTTTTAGAAAATTTCATTGAAAGGTATAAATAAGACCTGTAAGTGGAAAGATATCAATCATCTTAACAATGAGAAGACAGTATTATAAAGGTGTCAATTCTCTCCCTTTAATTAATCTATAAATTCCACACTCTTCTAATAAAAATGTTACAAGTGTCACTTATACACTTTTTCAAGCTGCTTCTAAAATTAACATAGAAAAATAAATGTGCAAAAACTTCCACAGTAATTTTTAAAAGAACAAGTAAGCAAGATTTCCCTTATCAGATACAAAACATACAAAGATATATTAAGCTGCTTCTAAAATTCATGTTAAAATATAAGTGCAAAAAGAGCTACGGCAATTTTTAAAGAACAAAGACAAGGTTTTCCTTAGCAGATATCAAGACATACTGAAGTAGAAAAGTCCATTTTAATAATGAGAACGAGACATACAGGAAAAAAAACTTTAAATCTGATTACATAAAAAATAACTTTAAAACTTTCCTATAACAACACTTAAGACAAACACCAAAAGGGAGAATATATTTGTAAAATGAAAAAGTATTCACATGAAGTTATAAGGAATACTTACAAATCAGTAACAAAAACACTAACATAAGACCAGCTAATTCACAGAAGAAATACAAATGTTAGATAGACATATTAAAAGATAATCAACCTTCCTAGAAACTAACGCTATGTAAAATAAATCAAGATACCATTAAATTGAGGAAGTAGTTAAAGTTCAACAAAATCACAAGCAGTGAGAGTGTAGGTATTCTCAAACACTGCTGACTATAGCTAAAATTTGTACAGTAACTTTGGAGAGCAATTTGACAGTATTACGAAAATATGCAAACCCAACGATACCACACTTCCACTTCTAAGTATTCTATAAAAACACTGGCACATGTGGATGTTCATTTATTCACAGTTTACAATAATAATAAAAATTATCCTTGGTTAGGTCAATTACAGTATGTTTACACAAATGAAAAACCAAAAGCAAACTCAATCTTCACACTGCCGAAGCTTTTCTCTTTCAGTTGAAGACAGTAATGCAAAATGCTAAGAAAAAAAAAAAATAGTACTTTCTTCACAAGTACAAAAGAATTCCATGTAAGTCCAAGGGGAGAGGATTTAAAGAATAAGCACCAATTTGATACGGTGGAAAATTAGCTACTGGGAAAAGAAATAGGACTAAATATTTCTTTGCATTTTAAAAAACATATTTATATGTGAAACTAACTTTTTAAGTAACCAAAAAAGCAGGACAGATCATTCCTCGGAGTTTATCTGTGGGGACGGACAGGGTCAGGAGATGCGCCCTGGGATGACGAAGTTCACACCTGAGGCAACCACCTGAGTGGGGAAAGAGGCGGGACAGGGAGGGTGCGCGGGGCCTCAGTATGGCTCCTGGTCACCATTTTCCAGTCCACAGTATCGCAAGCAATGTTATCGTTAAGCAGCTTGAACACCAAGTGATGTCCCTGCCTACAGTCTCTAGAGAACAAGTCTGACTCCAGCAAGTAACACCCCGAGCCCCGCGCGGGTTCCTAGGGGAACCGGAAGCGGCTCCTGCCATCGCTGCGAGCCAGGCCGGAAGCAGCGTCCGGATAGCGCGCGTGCGCATTAGGTGACGCAACTCGCGGCGTTCGCGCACGCGCACAGCAGCCCGTTCGCGCATCCTTCTGCAGAAAGTGCTTTGCTAGTGGTCCCGCGGTTGCAGCCATGTCGGAGATGGCAGAGCTGTGCGAGCTGTACGAAGAGTGCAACGACCTGCAGATGGACGTGATGCCGGGCGAGGGTGACCTTCCCCAGATGGAGGTAGGCGGTGGCGGGAGCCGGGAAGCGGCCCTGAGCGCTGCCCGCAGCGGGGCCGCGCCGCTCCTGGAGGAGGAAGGGCCGATGGAGGAGGAGGAGGGCGCGCAGCCCCTGGCGGCGCCTCGCGGCGGAGCAGGCCTGGCCCGCGGGCCCAGCCCCGGGGAGCAGCCGGGCCCGGGCCTGGAGGGCGAGGACGAGGCTGAGGAGCTGGACGACTGGGAGGATGACTACGACTACCCAGAGGAGGAGCCGCTGAGCGGGGCCGGCTACCGCGTCTCGGCCGCCCTGGAGGAGGCCAACAAGATGTTCCTGAGAACATCCCGGGCGCGGGAGGCCGCCCTGGATGGCGGGTTCCAGATGCACTACGAGAAGACCCCCTTCGATCAGCTCGCCTTCATCGAGGAGCTCTTCTCGCTGATGGTCGTCAACCGCCTGACCGAAGAACTCGGGTGCGACGAGATGATTGACAAGGAGTAATCGGATGCTGATGGCAGAGGAGGACCCGACTGGAGGAGAGACCCAACATTCCGCTGTCTTTGGGGTTCATTCCAAATCGTTCTGTGCCAATGAAAACACTTGATCTTCAAACAGAGAAGTTGTTTTTGTTTTTCAGAGTAGAAGACAAAGACAGTGACTGCACAGTTGTGAAAAAGGAAAAGAATCACGAAAGAAAAAGATCTTAGGACTGTTGACCGGTCTGCTTTCCAAGAACAGCCTGGAACACCTATGGTGTTGACTTTGTTACTGAAGTAGATTATTTTCCTTGCGTTAGGGAAGATCTCTTTCATATTTGTTTTGTTGTAAAGATGGTTTTGCAAGAGTTAATCATGACCAATACAAACTGCCAATACAAGAGCCCACTGATGCAAATTATGTAATGAGGCAAAAAATATGTCCACGAAATATCTTTGTTATTTGGAAGAAAGGCTATTGAGAAAACTTTTAAAATTCTACTTCGTGATCTATCCAAGTTATAGAAATCAAAGACTAAATTTGCAGTGTGAAATGAATTGATTATTCTTCATAATCCCCAAAGGATGGGCAAACTAAAACTATATGTATCGCATGTGCTGTATCCTTAAATGTGTTTCCAAGAGCATCTGAGATTGTACCTGTATCTTGATCATTTATAAAACAACTATACTACAGGAAAATCCATTATCGTGACTCTGGTATTTTTAAAAGTCTCAAAGGTGTCTTTTTAAATTTCAAGTTTAGACATTAAAATGTATGTGGAAGTACAAAGAAGACAAGTTATTTCTAATACCCTGATATTCTGTTTTGCTTGCTGTTTTTCATTTAACTTGACCTATGGAAGACTTTAGTTGAACTTTGTATTGTAAAAACTGTTAGTGAAAATTGTCAGGTAAAAGGAAAGCCCTATATCTAAAAAGACTATGAACAATTAACCTGCCCAGAAATCCACCTTAATATGTGATGTTTCCCTCTGTCTCCTCCTCTAATTAAGATTGTTATTCTTTATGCACCAGCATTGAAAATAATAAACATTTCTTGTTCTGTGTATGTTGCTTGTTGTTTGACCACTAGTATTTCATACATACTTTGTATGCTACTTTTATTGGTATACATTATTGCATCCACTTTATGATTTAAACAACCAATATATATAAAAGGGAAATGACCCAGCTTCAAAACCCAATTTATACGTTGATTTCTGGAAGTTAAACCTAGTAAATTAAACATTGTCTTTAAGAATTTACTAGCCCAGGAAAATCTGCCGTATCATTGAGCTTGTGCTTATTTTACTAAGATCCTGAAGCACCATGAGAATAGTAGTTACATCAGGCTATGCCAAGCAAAATATCAGCAGATCTTAGGATCAGTAAAAAGGTTCTTGATGTTCCTACTCCATGGTGACAGCAAAGGACAGATCAGTAGAGCAGCACAGCCCACAGCTTTATTTATTTTGCATTTATTCCTGTCTCTAGGGGATGGGGGAGGTGCTGTAAAACATAAGACTGACAAGGGTAGTAAAAGTCCAACACTAGCTTGCCTGGGAGGAGGAGGGAGAGCTGGAGGAAACAAAGTAAAATGTTGGCACTGAATCCTACTATCTCCCATACTTCACCTCTTCCACTGCTTTCTCATATCTGGTAGCAAAAGTCAGTAAGGGTAGTATGCAGGCACAGTTGTGTGTGCAGTGTAAATTAACAGTACTGGGGGTGAGGGGCACTGAGGGCCAGGGCACAATTTACTGGCCAGTTGCTTTTACCTGCAAACAAAGATGGCAGGAAAGACAGCCTCAGGGAAAAACAGAAAAACCCCATAAGGTCTAGGAACTGAGAAGGTGTGATTCTGTTTCTCTCTAGGGCCAACTAGGAAATGAGAGGTGTGGGGGACACCTGTTGCATCTGAAGGTTTATAGTTGAAGAAAGAGCATTCTGTAACTACTGTCCTGAGCCTCTGGTGGCTGGTTGTTCATCTTAAAGCTAAGCAGTCAACTGAGAGACCACTGAAATTAATGCATATTCATATTTACTGAAGATGGAAAATAGTAACACTTTTAAATTAAATTTTCTCTTTAGGGTTAAAGTTACCACAAATGGGAATCAGATTGTCTGTTTCAAATTCGGTCTCCACTGGACCAGGAACTCAGTAAACTACTTAATTTCTCTAGCTTGGTTCCTACACTGAAAATAGGGAAAATAGGATGCACCTTCCAAATTGTGAGGATTAAGTGCAGGTGTGTGTGTGTGTGTGTGTGTGTGTGCAGTTCTGGGAAAATTCTGATACTGACTTTTGGGGGTGGGGTGCAGGATGAGGCTAGGAGCTGTAAGGAATTTCATGTGCACAGAGTGTGCTCGGGGAAATTATTTTGCAGCATTTCTAGATCTATCCAGTGTATTATGTTTCCTCACATCAGAAGTCCCACATCGGCTGCCCTCGGGCCACGGGTCTATTTTGTTTGGCTCATGCTAATAATTTTGATTTCTTAATTAAAGACCAACGTTTCAATACAGACATAGCAGCTAAAAACCCAGGTTTTCCCCATTTTTTGCCAAAGTGGAGTATCTGGCAGCACTTGGCTCAGGGCAAGATCTCACAGGCTTTCCTTTCGACGGGAGGTTCTGTCTGCTAGCTTCCCCGGGACAGTGCAGGCAACACTATTTGTCACTGCCTGAGCCACTGTTTCCTCTTAGACCAGGACAGTTCCTATTGTCTGCCTGAACTCCTGATATTTGAAGTTGTTTCTGAGTATCCATTTTCTGACTGTTTACCTTTCTTATCTGTCTGTTGCTTTCTCGATTGAGTAGCCATTAAAACTGGTGACATTTGTAGAAATGAGTAAAGAATTAGTATGAATGGGAGCTACTGAGACTGACAATTTTGCTTAAGGCCCTACAATACTATACAATCCTCTCTTTCTATCTGTGACTAAGGTTCATTTATTTGTGGTCAATTGCAGTCTGAAAATATGACGTGGAAAGTTGCAGGAGTAACTAAATTTTATTGCACACCATTCTGATGAGCATGATGAAAGTTCATGCCTTCACACTCCCACACAGTGCCTACAGGGTAGGTTGTGACTCATCCTTTACCCAGCATGTCCATGCTGTATACACTGCCGGCCCAACAGTCAATTAGAAGACTTCTCAGTTACTAGCCCCACTGTTGTGATATCCAAGTAGAAGCAGCCCTCACTGTATTTAATGATGGGCACAAAGCCCAAGAGTAGTGATGCTGGCAATTGGATATACCAGAGAAGCTGCGAAGTGCTTCCTTTAAGTGAAAAGGTGAAAGTTACTGACTTAAGGAAAGAAAACAAATCCTATGCTGAGGTTGCCAAAGTGAGAACAAAAGAGCATATATAGGGTTTGGTACTTCTGTGATTTCAGGCATGCACTGAGGGCTTGAAACATACACCCCCATTGAGGGAAAGGGGTACTAATATTAAAGTAAAGCCCCCAAAAAGGTTTGTTACTTGAATTTCAAACAAGCCAGGCATGGTATCAACATGCCTTGTACTTCCAGCACTCAGGGAGGCTGAAGCAAGAGGATCGCATATCTGAGTCCAGCTTGGGCAAGTTGGTGAGATCTTGTCTCAAAACTTACATTTTTTTTAAAGGATGGGGAATGTAGCTCAGTGTGAAGGTCCTAGGTTCAACCTCCAATGCCAAGAAAGAAAAAAAGAGAAACTCGAAAACTTGTCATTCCATAATGTATTTCCTCAGTCCAAAATATGGTAATTGTAAAACATCACATGTTTAATAGAATGTTATTTTCTGCCTCGGAGGGTCTATGAAACATTTTAGGGGAGTAATTGGTTACAATCTCAATGACCGGAAATAAATACAAGCACCTGACCAGTGAGTGCTGTCGTCTGTATCTGTGAGCATGTTTTATGTTTTCAGTCCGAAGTATACCTTAGAAGTTAGCAGAAAGGGATTCATTTGTATTTCTTTGTATTTGCACTAGAATTTCCAGGCTTCACTTTCATTAGTTAATAAATTCTTTTCTCCTGCAGCATTCATAAGGGCTGACCACTCTGCTGCCTCATCCCCTGACCATTTTAGCTGCCCTCTTCATAGGATACATAGAGGTCCCTGACATGAAGGATCCACAGTGCCACATCTCTGCTCCCCCATCCAGAGTCCGTCCCTCAGGTGTGCAGGATAGCTCAGAATCACTGGCTGGGTCTGAGCTTGGCAAGATCCCAGCTGTGGTCCCCACTCTTAACGGTAGGCTGAGCGCAGCCCCATTCCAGGCGACCCCTGCAGAACAGTTAGTTGTGAGTGGCCCTCAAGCACACACCATTGATGCTGCAGCCACCGGCAGTGGAAGCTCTCCTGCCCACTGTCCCGGGCCCGGAGCAGTGACACCACCAATGGCTGGCCTCTCTCCTAGTAGAGGAGAAAGAGGCTGAGAATAAACTGTGCCCACCATACGCACCACAACCTTATTCTTCATAAACTCTCAAATTCTGTCGCCCCTGGAAAGGATCACTTTTAAAAATGATCATTAGATCCTGCACAGAAGGCGGCTCTGGCTTTGCCTGCTCTTCTCCCTTACAGAGCTCCCAGGTAATTCAGACCTCCTCACTAAACTCTGGGAGAGCTCATGATTGAAAGCTTTGAGCCTCTATGGTACCAAGCACATGAGCGAAAACTAAGACAAAATTTACATCTAGATGTGTTGAGGTCAAAGCACATGGATGATGGAATGAGGGTTTCACCAGCCCAAAAAGTTATGCATCGTTGTAGCAGTTGATCACTTCTCACGGGGAATCAACTCAACAGAGCAGAAATTTGTTTGGATTATTTCATGTTAAGCATTTCCCTCGAATGTGCCGTATACTGCTGCATAAGCAGAGTATTCTGTCCTTGAACTTTAGAAATAAAGCAGCCCTCGAACCTTGTATTTCTATATTACTGAAACTTTTAGAGTTGCATAGATTATGCTTTCCCCATGAAGTACTGGGTACATATATGAAAGAGCCTCTGAATAATAATAATAATAATGGCTACCACGAAGCTGGCACTGTGCTAATAGGTTTACATCGGGTATCTCATTTAACCCACTAAACAGCCCTATTACACATTTACTGCTAAATTTATCCCCTCAGAAACTCCATGAGTAGGCACTGGGACTTCCAGTTCACTGAGGATGAAAACCGGAGTTCAGAGTATTGCAGCCACTGCTAATAAGTTACAAAGCCACTATTTCATCTTCTATGTGATCTCAGTCCTCAGTGTTCTACCATCCCCAGTGCACACTCAACCTTCTGTGAGTCCTTGATCAACAGCAGTCCATAAAATAAAACCTTAAATACTCAGAACCTCAAATTACTACATATTAGACAAGGAAAAAACAGACTTTGGCACATATAAATAACTTACTAGAAGGAATGTAGTTTAAAAATTACAAGCAAGTCAAAAAGTGCCATAGTTTAGCCTGGTGCCTACACAAGATGTGTTTTTTTAAAATATGGGGAGTGTTTAAATAAAAAATTATTACAGTAAAAGACACATTGCCATGAATTTCCCTCAAAATGTTGCCCCTCCCTGGAAACACATTTATCCCGTTTTCCTTGCCACTTTCTGAAGCAGTTTTGGAGTCCTCTTTTGTGAATATCTTTAGTCATACTGTCATGGCTGCCTTGATGTCCTAAAGCGATTCAAAATGTTCCCCTTCCCTGATCTTTCTGACTTTGGGGAAGATCCAGAAGTTGCAGAATGCCAGATCTGGTGAATAAGGTGGATGAGAACACACTGTCATGTCTTTAAAAGCCTGTCTTTCTGCTGGATGGCACTGGACAGCAGCATTCATCAGATTTTTGATAATACATCCTACAGACACTCACAAAAGAGGACTTCCAGCAAGGTCATGAGTTCAATTCCTGGTACCGGAAGAAAAACCAAAAAAAAAAAAAAAAAAGAAAAACAAAAACAAAAGAGGACTTCCAGAACTGCAGCAGAAAGTGGCCAGAATGATAGGATAAGTGTTTGAAGTGAAGGACAGTGTTCTAAAGGGGCCTAATGGCAATGTGTTGTGGGAGACAGCACTGAGAATATGTATGTGAAGCATTTCCCATCTAGGCTGTAGATGTGGCCATCCTGACAGGTCAGCTGAGAACTCTGCAGACAGAGTGTGGCATGGCTTGGAGGGAGGCCATAGCCCTGTAACCCAGGATGTAAGCAGATTTTCTGTACTGTTCCCTAGCCTATCTATTCTAGCCTATTAGCTCAGCTGTCCCCAATTCTATCAGCTCAAGTAGAACATGTACTTTCCTTGAACTATCTTTTGAGCTCCTTTCTTGTAGAATGCCTTTTGTTCTCATTTAGTAAAGAACACCTTTGTTCTCGTTATGTATTTAAGACAGTGTTCTCCTTTAATAAACAGAGTGGCCGTCATCCCTCTGCTCATGTCACAAGTCTTCTTTCGTTATGTGACCTGAGGCATCAGAGATCAGCACCATCATCCCCAATGGTGATTGGAGATCCCCAATGTTAATTTGGGAACTACATGTGTGTTTTACTATAACAATCTTTTTATTTTAAATGTTCTCCATATGTTTGGATCACCGTTTGTGTATATTTTATATTTGCTTCAGCAAGGCTGTTGTCTTGGTTACTTTTCTCTTATTGCTGAGACAAAATGCCCAGTGCCTCAAATTAAGGAAGGAAAGAGTTCATGGTGGCAGAAGGTAGCAATAGCAACAAGAGCAAAAGGGGAAGAGCAAGCCTGCTTTTCTCCCTTATATTGTACATAGGCTACCTGCTCTAGGGCAGGTGTAGCACTCACACCACCAATCCCAGCACTAGATAATGAATGAGTCACAAACTCTAGATTCAGCTGCCTCCAAAAGCCCACCCCCCATGACCACATGAGGCTTGAGGGGACATCTAGACACACACCATAACATTCTGCTCCTTAGCCCTGCAACGACTCATGCACATCCCTTTATGTAAAAGGCATTTAGTCCATCTCTAAGAGTTGCCAATGTCTTAACAGTTTCAGCATTGCTGAAAAGTCCAAGCCCCAAGTCTCCTCCAAGATATAAGGCAATATCTTAGCTCGGAGCCCCTATACAAATGAAAATAAAGGGAAACACTTCTAACATTCAGCACAAGATATGTTTCATTTCAAAATTTACAATCAGGGATACAAAGGAAGGGGACCAAAGCAAGTCCAAAATAGAGCAGAGCAAACATTAAGTCCTGAAGTTCCACATGAATCATCTGAGGCAATCTGGCAAGTTGTGAGCTCCAAAGGCCTTAGGTGGCTCTACCCCTACAGCACTTCTGGTGGTTGTAGCTCCCATGGCTTCTCTCTTGGGATCATTTTGCTTTCTCCTTGCAGGTGTCCTCAGATGATCCATGTTCCTGGTTCCTCCAAACTTCTGGAGTTTCCACTGCACCTTTGGCTTTAACCTCACAGCTTTATACACTGCCCTCTCAGGGTACACTGCCTGGTCTCCCAGCCTTTCTTATATCTGGGAGGAAGCCTTCTTAACCCCACAACTGTTGTATTCTGTGTGCACCTAAGACCAGCACCACATGGATGATGCCAAGGTCTGCTGCCAGCTAGAGCAGTAGCCAGGCTCCCTTCTCTCTTGGCTGTAGGGGAGTGGAATGAATTCTGAAGAAGGAATTTTCTAGGCTGCTGCCATTCTGGAACATGGTGCTCTGTGGCTTTCTTTTCAAAGCAAAGTCTTTCACTTTTGCAGTTTGGGGGCTGCAAAGTGTGGAGTCCTGTTGCTTTTTGTGATGCCCTCAGACTATCTTTTCTATTCTCCTACTCCTTCCCAGCAATCAAGATTTCCTTTGCTCTATCTTTGCAGTCCACAGCTCTACTGGAACTTCCCTTTTAGCCAAATTCACATTTTAAATCATTAGGCTGGGCTCTCTGCCCTTGATTCTTAACATAAATCTGGCTAAAAGCCCCCAACAGTAATCATGCCATCATGGCTACTATTTGAATGCCTTGAAATTTCTTCTACAGGATTAATTAGTCCATTGCCCTTTACCTCAGTCTCAGGCAGTCTCTGGACATGAACAAAATACAGATAAACTTTTTGCCAACCCATAACATATATCATCTGGAGTCCAACATCCAGTGCAGTCCTTCTTTCCAGGAGAAACCTCCCAAGCCAGATTTTTACCAGCCTTTCAATCTTCTGAGCTCTCACCAGAATGTCCCATATAAAACAACCTAAGGTGCTCCAGTTCTACTTTTTCATCCAGCATCTCTGAACCTTTCTAATCTCTTCCCACAAGCCATTCCCAAAGGCTCTTGAACTTCATGGTCAGGTATAGTCATAGGAACAGCCCCACTTCTGGTACCAAATTCTGTCTAGTTACTTTTCTCTTGTTGCTGAAACACAATACCCAATGTCCCAAATTAAGGGAGGAAAGGTTGATTTAGCTCACAGTTTGTAGAGGTTTCAGTCCATAATCAGCTGGCTCCAAGACCAGGTGGCATTGCAGAAGGGCAACAGTTCATGTCAGTGGGAGACAGCAAAAGCAACAAGAGCAAAAGGGGTTGGGGAGCTTCTTTTCCTCTCTCATATTATATGTATGTTACCTGCTGTATGGTAGGTGTAACACTTACACCCCTAATCCCAGTACTAGACAATGAACCAAACACAAACTCTAGATTCAGCTGCCTCCAAAAAGCCTGCCCCCCATGACCACATGAGGCTTTGTGGGGACATCCAGACACAAACCATAACAGCTGTTCTATGAGAAATGAGGTTCACAGTAAAAACTCAGGTGTACCATAGAATCAAGAAAGAAAAAAAATGTTTGTACCATAATACTGGAGAAAGCTTTCCAACCATACAAGTAGGAGAAAAGTGTCTCCTACTTAGATTTTAGTTGCCTAGAACATCTACACTGATGTCATCTTTTCCCTCTGTTCCTCACCTGCAACCCAGTCCAACATACTCAGTTATGATCACGGATTTGCTTTTCCTCTGGGGAAAGCTTGGAGAGACTCATCAATGACCAAATCAAGGGTATTAGTTAGCAAATGCTGCATACTATGTTCTTCAAACTTTTGTTCTTCATATGAAGCCAATGAGGTAGCAGCAAGTATGTAAGCAGTTAAAAGCCAGTGATAGTTTAGTAATGCTATTATTCTAATTATTGGAAAATAATTTCCAATATGGCTGGCCCAGGATTTATGCCTAAATTTATGCAAAGAGTTTTATTTTTCCATTTTGGCTTATTAAACTGTGAGCATACTCTCTCTGACACTTTATTCTTATCATTACTCTCAGACTTCCAGAAAAACAGAGCTATGTTAAACAACAAGTAGCATTCACTGTCTCACCTGCTGGTTGTCCAGGTTCATCAGTGTGAGGCTGCATGTTGAGATGGTCAGCTTTATATTCATTCCAGAAAACTGAAGATTGTTTTTGCCAAGAACTGCTGAGAGGAACTTAACAGGAGCCTTTAAAAAAAAACAAGACAACACTGTGAGTTATGGATGTTGTTACAGACTGGAGATGTTTTCTAAATGTTAAAGATGGACCTTCCTCTCTATTCTACTTTATGTCAAACGAGGTGGGTGCTTTTTCATTAAAATTTTTTTTAAAAATTGAAGTGCAGCAAATTCTTTCATAAGTGAAATCCAAAGCCTCAGAAGTTTTCTCATTCTTTCCTTTTCACCAAGTGCTCTATGTCAACGAATTCCTGGGCGAGTTCAGAGCAGATGGGCTCCAGTCCGTCCCAGTACACATGTAAACAAAGAAAGAGCTGGTAATGCAGGACTCCTGCCATCAAAGTCACTGAGTGCTTCAGGCCATCTTCGCTTCAGATGACCCATGCTGGAAATCCTACCTCTGGCCACTCTTTCTAGGTCAATCATTGTTTTCAGACGGTCCTTGTTGTTAAAATGGGCAACTATTACTAAGACTCCTTTCTCTGTTAATTCTTAATAAGCTCACTTACCAGAATTTACTAAGGGAAATGTAAAGGAAGATCCTGGGGAAATGGGTACGTTTTGATAAAAGTTGAAATTCTTTTCTTGTTGTTCTGTTTTCTTGAGACAGGGTCTCACTCTGTAGTCCATGCCTTGAAATCACTATGTGGCCAAGCTGGCCCCAAAATGCAACAATCATCCTGCCTCAGCCCCCTAGGTGCTGGGCTTAGAGGAATACACCACCACACCAGGCTAAAACTTGAAACTCTTGATCAGAGACTTCTCAGGAAGAGTACAAAATGCTTGAGAATTATAAAGCCAAGAGGTACCAATACATAGTGAGAGGTGAAAGGCAGGGCCAGCCAATTTCTTCCAGCAGATGTGCCACTTAGCAGCTATATGACCTTGGAAAAATGACCTTTTTAAGCCCCAACTTTTTTTTCTATTAAATGTGATTTTTTTAAAAAGCAGCTACCTCACAAAAGCTGTTGTGAAGATTAAATTAGATGATAAATGGAGTGCATTTAGTATAGTACTTGGCTAGACATATGAGAGGAATTTATTATTATTATTATTTATTATCATTATTGTTATCCTTTCCAATGCTGAGATTCTAAGAGGCAGTTTGATAGATTTAAATCCTGTGATGGATGTTTGATTAAGTCGTGCAATCCTCAGCTGGAAAATGGGCAAAACTGAGGATAGAAATTTAGTGATTGCTTAAAAAAAAAAAAAAAACTACTAAAAAAAAAAAAAAAAAAAACTACTACTAGGCAATCAATGGAAAAACAGTTTGTTCTTCCCACGGTCTTACTTGTATATTTACTCTTATTTGATCCCTTCTGGAACCACACCAAGATGTTCAATATACATTGTTGAAATTCAGTGCATAGGTCTTTATTTTTTTCCCAATGCCAAGCACATTCTAAAATGCAGTGAAAACATGGGTAAAATGTCCAAACATCCTCAGTATCACTTTATCATCACACTGACTCTTGATCTGCTTTCTTCACCTTCATGCTGCCCTTGACCAGAGAAGCCACACCGTGTAAGGATTTTTTGTTCTCTAAAATGATGATATTTAACAGCAAATCACTCATTTGCTTCCATAGAGTTTTTCCCACGCTAGTTTTTAAAAAATTATTATTATACTAATTAGATAATAATACTATCTCATGCTCGATAAGCATTTTGTTATTTGTGAGGAATGGTTACAAACATCGTCTTAGTCTTGCCCTCAAAATAACCTTCACCTCACTAGAAATGCTCCACACGTGTTTACTGTGTAGAGGAAGACAGAGTCTCTCATTGTTACTAGAAATGACATGAGTTCAAGTAAGCCACAGAATATGTGTAAGTGTGGTTTTCTGTGGGCATGCAGGGTGGGGAGCACACAGGACTGGCAGTGAGGCAGACTGGGTTCAGCCGGCCAGGTGACCCAGGGACTGCAGGGGAACTAGCTGATGGTCCCCAGGGGCTCCCTGAATCCCTGTTATGTTTTGTGTCTGGATGTCCCCCCAAAGCCTCATGCAGTCATGGGACAGGCTTCTAGAGTTTTTGATTGATCCATGGTCCAAAGCTGGGGTTATGGGTGTGAGTGCTACACCCGCCCTGGGGCAGGTAGTTTGCGTACAATATAAGGGAGGGAAGGATCCTGCTCTGTGCTGCTCCTCCCTTTTGCTCTTGTTGCTTTGCTGTTTTCCACTGCCATGAACTGTTGCCCTCTGCCATGTGTCACTCTGCTTTGGGGCCAGCTAAGCATGGACTGAAACCTCCACAAACTGTAAGCTAAATAAACCTTTCTGTCCTTAAATTTTGGGCATCATGTGTTTTGTCTCAGCAACAAGAGAAAAGTAACCAAGACACCATGCTTCTCAACTGTTGTGGAAAGAGGAGGCTGGATGGGAGAGTGCTGGTCCCCATTTTACGAATAAAGAACTCCTAAGATAAGGAGGCATGAGTTGACATCCATGAATGAATTTGTTGGTATTGACAGAGCATAGTGGCTCTTTGGCTTCTGTATCACCCACACTCTCAAGAACTTCCAGGTCTTTTGCTTAGTAGTTTTAGGCTCCCTGAGCTAGTGATGCCAGGCTGGAGAGGCAGAAGGTATCCTGGGTAAGGGTGTAGATCCCACAGGCTGCCTGCTGGGCCTTGACCCTGTTCAACAACCAGGTCACTGGGCAAGTTCCTTAACCCTTGTGTGCCCCAGTTTCCTCACCTGTAAATGGTGATAAGTAATTAATAGAACTAGTTTAGGTTTTTGAAAATGTATTTATTTTTTGAGATAGGGTCTTGTTATGTTGCCCAGACTGGCCTCAAGCTCATGCCTCAGCTTTCCAAGTAGCTGAGGTTAGCTCAGGTGTGAGCCATCATGCCTGGCTATTTGTAGGACTTTTGTTTGTTTGTTTTTAACATAATTAACAAAATATATCTATATCTATGTATATAGATATATAGATATATAAAAAGAATAGCTAGGCATGGCGGCCATGTTACTAATCCCAACACTTGGGAGGTGGATTGCTGTGAGTTTGAGGCCAGCCTGGGCTACACAGTGATTTCAAGGCCAGTCTGAACTACAGAGAAAGACCCTTTCTGAAAAAATCACACACACACAAAAAGCATAATACCAAATTTAGGGACACAGCAAAATCAGTGCTGAGAGGGAAATTATAGCTATAAAACTTTATATTAAAAGAGACAGATTTAAGGTAAAAAGCCTAACTTTACAGTTTAAGGGTCTAGGAAAAGAACAAATTAAACCCAATGCTGGCAGAGTGAAGGAAATAATAAAGGTTAGAGATGGAAGATTTAGAGAGTAGAAAAACAATACCACTGCCCTGAATACTCACAGGTAACAACAGTTAGGATGACAATTGTATTATGTGGTAGGTTTGTTATGTGTAATTTTTACTATAGTAAAAAAAAAAATTGGAAAAGAAGAGAATAAACAATGCAAAGTGCTGGGGAAATTCTTTGCAAATTTACAGTAAAAGACACATTGCTATGAATCCACTTCAAAATCCTCCCCCTCATTTCAAACACACTCACCCCATCATTCTTCCCACCTTCTTAAATAGTTCCAGAAGTCCTCTTTCCTGAGTGTCTTTCTAAGGTGTGAACAAAAATATGATGACTGGGTGGCTACTCAGTGCCATCCAATAGAAAGGCAGGATTGTCAAAACAGGGTGCTGTGTGCTCACCCACCTTATTCACCAGCTCTCACACTGCCACTTCTTCCCAAAGCCAAAATGACCATAGAAGGGAAACATTTTGTACTGTTTCACGACCTGGAGGCAGCCACAACAGCACAACTAAGGATACTCATGAAGGAGGACTTCCAGAGCTGCTGCAGAAAGTGGCAAGAATGATGAGATGAGAGTTTTTGAATCAAGGAAGAGTATTTTCAAGGGGATTAATGGTAATTTATCTTTTACTGTAATATATTTTTAAAAATTTAGATATTTACTGTATTGTTCAATTACCTCTCATACGAAGCACTCAGTAAGTATTTATCAAATAAAAGAAATGAACTTCAAAATTTTTGTCTTTCTTCATGAGTATACTTTCTGACAAAGAGGATAGCCAGGTTTGTTATTTTTTGTTTTGGGGGTTTGGAATCCCTACACCTGAAATAAGAAGATCTTAAATGAGTGAGTCTGTTTGTTAGGATCATCCAGCTGAAATATCCTGTTCACAGAGATGAAGAGGAGAAGGAGTCGTCATCATCTAGATGCTGCTTTGGGACCCTGAGTTCCATCAATGAAACCAGTAACAAGAAATTCTCAACAGAATTCAAGGGCCACTTATCAGAGTTTTCCATGGCTCCTCTGAGTCACTCTGGGTGACATGGGGTTTAGCCCTATGTAAATGATGAAGAATGGTAACAAAAATTGAGGCAGATGACATAAAAATAAAGCACTAAGCTAGGAATCCAGAGTCTTGACTTCTATGGCCGGCCGTGCCCTTCATCACACTAGTAATCAGCTCTTCTCTGAGTTAAGTTTAGTAGCTGGCAACATGAAAGGGGTAGACCAGATGATCTCCAAAGATCCCTTTCTTCTTAAAATGTCCACTGCTTCATGATTTAAGTACTTACCTGCTGGTAGCAGTGGGACCTGGAAGTTGGTGGAGGCAGGACAAGACCACAGTGCCTAAAGCAGTCAGGGTACCTCAGTCTTGAGAAAAGCATCCGGCCTGGACAACTTCAGTCATTAGTTGCTAGGCAACCTTGTAGCGTGTGATACTAACTTTACAAGGGTATAAATAAACGCACCTACTGTTCTTCAGTCCTCTTTCCCCACCTAGTAAAGAGGCCTCCACCTGACCCAGCTCCTGTCTCTGGTCTTTATTTTCTAAATCCCCTCACTGTTTTCTCCTGGGGACCACTGAGAGACCAACAAGTTCTGACATTTGGTGCCTGAAACAGGGACCCCCAGTAAGAAGAACTGGTAGGCAGGAGGACACTTCTCAAATTTTTGTGCAACAGGGTAGAGAAGTGGATTGGTGGGTCAATAGTTAGCACA